CTGCTGAGACTTGGATGCATGCCGCCAGTATCTGTACAGTATGTTCAAATCTGGTTGACTTGTTTTTTAATAAGCTCACCATGTTCGGCCGGTTCAATATAGAGCCGTATTGAATGCTCATGCATATGCACGTACTGCATGAGCATTGGATTGTTTGGTCACTGAATGTCGATTGTTCATACGTCCAACTTAAACAGGCTGGCCGCGCCTAGCTCTTACTATAGAGTGGAGGCGGCGGGCCGCCTATTGTTAGCTTACAAGCTAGCGCTCGACATGCGGTGATAGCTACAATCATAACGCGCGCAGTGAAGTCGGTCCGGCGCGCCTGGCCTGAACTTATCGATATCATATGACACCTTTTATATATAGCACCGATTCGTACAGCGGTGCAGTGCAGTACGTAGCTTTAAACACGGTATATATACGTTACGGCATGCGATCTTATATAATATAATTGAAGTAAACTAGCTGATCATTGAAGCGCGTTGAAGACGGTTACTGAGCTAGAGCTGGATAAGTTTTTGTCGACAACTATACCAATATTAGCTGCAGTGCGCATGTATATATGCCACATGTCATTGAACCGCACGCCGGTACCGTACTGAGCTACCGTAGTTGCATGGAACTTACACCATGATCGCGCTCGCGAATGCAATGATCGATCGCTTACAAAACCTCGCGTTAGAAACATCCCATGTCTGTATGCATGATTTGCACGTACTAAGTTGCAGTGTGTTGCCTGTAGTATTGCTTGTGTTCAATACGTAGTATTATGAAAAACGAGGCCGGTGCAGCTGTGTAGCAACTTAGCTTCAGAGTCAATTCATTGTACCCCCGTCTCGATCATGCACGACCGGAGCAATGCCCAACATGGCTCAGAGTGGCCCGCCAGAGTTTATAAGAACAAGTAACCATCGCTTAGCCTAGTAGAAGACAGACCGGCCATGGCATAATTACGGCCCCCGGTCGGACCGGCCATGCAGTTTATTCATGCATGTTGTACTGCGCGCGGCCGGGCTTTGTTGCCCCATATTTAACAGTACATTATCTGACCTTCCAACGAGTCCGCACGATCAGCTCACAATGAAATCCTTGACACTTACATCCAGCGTGAGCCACCATGCCATGTGTCACGTTGGCGTGAAAGGTAAAAACTGGCGATCGTTTGAAACGGTGCACGGAAATCAGTGCCAGGTCATGGCACTTTTCAGAGCGACTTCTCTACGAGTAGACAACTTCACAAGCAGGTCAAGATTTCTTGACGACGAGGAATCAAATTGCTTCACCTCTCCCCTCGATTCACACTCGTTGCCCCTGTGTACGTCCTTGCCATCATGCACCTAGCAGCTTGGGCGTAATCTTCTCATTGATGAGCTTGTACACCATGAAGGGCCCCTTGGGTCCGAAAGCGTAGAACACGGCCCCGATGATTGCCTCCAGCACGTCCGCGCAGATGTCGTCACGCACAGTGCCGTACTCGTCCTTGACGCTCGGCGTGGCCTCGTTCAGGATCACATGCCCGTCCAGCGCGAGCGCCCGCAGGTAGAGCGCGTTCACGGCGTTGCGCGTGAGCGCGGCGCGCATCTCTGAGAGGAGGCCCTCGTGCGCCCGGGGGTGCAGCTCGAACAGCCGGCTGCTGATGACGGCGTTGAGCCAGGCGTCGCCCAGGAACTCGAGCCGCTCGTAGCTGGGCAGCCGCACGCCCAGGTACGACTCGTGCAGGAACGCCAGCGTGAGGCACCGGTCCAGCATGCCGTCGCCCAGCTCCTGCCCCGCGGCCGCGCCCGCCTCCTGGCTCGCCGCGAAACCCAGCTTGGTGCGGACCTGCGACGCACGGGGGGGACGGAGTGAGCCGAGAAGCAGGCGAGGCGTTGTGCGCCGCGACAATTTGACAGCAGTCTACTCTGAAATGGTGCCGAAACGCCTTGTAAATGGAGCACAACTGCAAGCGGGACCGATCATGAGGCCATCTCGATGTCAAAAACAGCGCACTGAATGCTACACCGCAGCAACTGGGTTGGTGGGCTCGCTGCTCGTCGTGCGCGCAGCGGCTGCGGTGCGCTGACCTGCGGCAGGTGCTCTGCGGTCCACCAGCGCAGGCGGTCCAGGAATTCCTCCGGCAGGCTGACACGCGCGCTGCGCTCGGGCGGCGTGCTGTCGGCGCGGGTGAGGGCGGCACGCGCGTCCTTGCGCAGCTCGACCGGCTTCTTGGGCACCGTCACCGGGCTGTACCCCAGCTGGTTGCAGATCTCGAGCGCCGTCTGGTCGCCGCCGCCCGCCTGCGCCGCAATGTACTCGCGCAGGCTGCCGTACTGCCGCGCCACGAACTGCCGCGCGTCGATCTGCAGCATCTCGCGGTCGTACTTGCTGCTTGGCCTGCACCACCAGCGCTGCGCATCAGCACATGCACGCTAGCACGATCGGGTGGCGCTCGTCATTGTCCAGCGGTTGTTAGCAGTATCAGGAGCAGCAGGCAGACGCTGCGGCACGCACACATCCTGTGAGCAGGGCTGTCCCACCCGGGCCCCCCTGTTTGGGACTACGGGACCCCGGCCCCGTTGCCGCTGGTACTGTCGCGTGGCCTCACCCCGCCTCGTCGTCCTGCAGCTGCTGCGCCCAGTCGTCCCGCAGGGCCCCGCTCTGCCGGTCCCGCAGCATGCCCCGCTGATTGCCTCCAAACTGTTCGCTCTGGCAGTCCCGCGCGATGTGGCCTCCCTCGCCGCACTTGAAGCACAGGCGGCCGCCCCCCAGCGGACAGTCGCGCGAGATGTGGCCCTCCTCCCCGCACTTGAAGCACGTCCGGCTGCCGCTGCGCACCACGAGGGAACGACAAAAGGTTCAGCTATGCCCGACTGGAGAAGAGGGGGACGCCGTTTAAGAGAGCCCTAAAAAGTTGTGGCCAGGGAAAGCATGCGCTTGTCCTCGCCCAACACCTTACCGCGGCCGCCTATTGGGCCCTCTGTCGAAGTATAATGTCAGCATCGTGCGAAGCGCCTATTCCTCCTCTGCACGAGCAGAGACCGTCACGCTTTGAAGCGGGTCCCCTCCTGGGTACCCCCCTATTCGCTTACCTGGTCCGCCCCGATGCGCTGGGCGCGTAGCCCTCCTCCGGCAGCGGCCCCTCCGACATGGCCGAGTCGCCCTCCCACGCCTTGCCCGCCTGCCCGTTCATGCCTGCCCACGCCACACGGCGCGTCAGGGAACGTCCGCTCAGAGCAGCGGCCCCGCATCAAATCCAGACGCGTGAGCATTGAGGTCTGGTGGTGCACCAAAGCGGAGAGACGACCTCAATCAGCACAGGTCAGCTTAGAGCAGTAGGCATATCGATCGGGGGGTCACCTTGTGGTTCGCCCCAGCCATTGATGGTGTCGTCCTCGTCCTCGCTCATGAGATCGTCCACGGTGAAGGCTCCCGACAAGATCCACGCCTCGTCCACCGCGTTGATGCGCACATTCTTCTTCAGCAGCAGCTCGCGCGTCAAGTAGTCCTTGTTGTACAGCCCCTGCCACGCCCCGCACGCACCGCGTCAGGCAGGAATGCAGAGAACGGAGGAGCGAAAGAAGCGAGAGAAAACAGAGGATCTTCAAGGCTGCGCAGAGGAAATTGATCTATGTCGAGATCCGCTCAGTGTGCAGTCGTAATCTTGAAATGTGACAAGCGAGGCCAGAGACTGCCCAGTTTCGGTCCGGCGGTGTATATCATCCCAGGCAACGCGCCCAGCCCCAGTTGTTCGGTGCGGGTGCTCCGTGCGCCGCACCTGCATGGCGAAGGGGAGCAGGAAGTCCTCGAGGCGCGCCACCACCTCCGCGCGGTTGCCCAGCCGCTCGTCGATCACAGCGCGCGCCACGGCCTTCACGATATCCACCGCCGTCTCCAGCTCGCCCGACCCACGCTGTGCGCGGCGGCCGCCCTTGAGGGGGTCGTCCGCCTCGAGCGCGCGGAAGAGCGTCTTCTGCTCCTTGGCCCAGTGGCAGCGCCGGCTGCCCTCCACCTGCGCGACCACGTCGCCCGCAGCGTTGCGCAGGCGGTACGTCACCTCCAGCTTCTCCACCGCCACCTCCGCGGCCTCCACCAGCGGCAGCAGGCACGCGTGGCGCACGTCCGCCGCCTGGAACTCGGGGCCCGCGCCGTGCGCCTGGGACGAGAGGAAGCCCATGACGGCCAGCATCAGGCTGCGCCCGATGACGGGCTTGATGGCCTCCATGGGCGACGCGGCCTGCCCGCGCGGGATGGGCAGCTTCACGGTGCGCCCGGACGGCGTGACGATGAGCGTGCTGGCGGTGGTGAAGAAGCCGGCGCCCATCTCGTGGTAGATGGCGAACAGGCTCGGCAGCGCTGGGCCGCTCACCGCGCCGGGCTGCCACGCCACGGGGAGCCCGGGGTGCGCCTCCGAGAACAGCTGGCGGCAGGACGAAGCGAGGAGCGGTCAGTATGATACTCGTAAAGACCCATGCATCCTTGCAGATAACACCGTAGCGTTTCAGTGCTCCTCGAGAGGGCAACGAGGCAGAGTTTGCGGCGCCGTCCCTGTTGCTGACTTGGTCGGGGCGGCGCACCTTCTCAAGGTTGAGGTCGTCGGGGATGAAGGCCTCGACGCCGGGCTTGAGGCGCACGAAGTCGAGCTTGGGCTGCTTGGCGGGCTTCTTGGGCGACGGCGGCATGCCGTCCTGCCACCCCGACTCGGGCGCACTCTCGTCCGCGTCATCGGACGGCGTGCGCGCCGTCACGGGCACCAGACCCGACCGCTTGAAGTCCTCCCACTCTTCCTGCAGTCTGCACCGCAAGCAGGCCGCGGTCAGCGGCAGCGACAAGGGGAAGGGGGGCCCGGTGTGGAGAGGGTACAGCAACAGGAATACCCAATTGGCAGCACGTCCCAAGTGCAGTCTTCCCTACAAATCTGCTGTGTAAGAGTTCAGCTTCGCTGACGACATTACTTCTCTTTCAAGCAGGACAAGAACGTTCCCGCGCCCCGATGCGCCCTCACTTGACGTCGCGGTAGTCGGCTGCCAGCTTGGTCCAGACGCTCTCGGCCAGCTCCAGGTCGGCGCACAGCCCATCCACACCGCGATCGCGCCCCAGCACCGTCCCGCCCGCACAGGCCGCCAGCCACGCCCGCATGTAGCTGCACGCAACCAAGTCTAAGGGCTTAAGGCCGCCCTAGCACCAAATATGAACGAAAGCAATCACAGGAACCGGGCAGCTGAGCAAAGTGTTTGCTGCATGTTCGTAAGCCTAAAACTCATCCTGAGCGCAGGGTTCACGCAAAAGGAGACAGAAACAAGTTCTCTCACGGCTTCAATTCTGGCAACAATTACAGCAGAGAAAGGAAGGCAGCAGATCACTATGCGACTTAGTGCCAGCTCAGCTGCCATTGCCGGTCAGAGCTCCTGCCGCATGCCAATTGCGCTGCGCCATGCCAATTAAGTTGTGGCGCAGCCGCTCCGCATGTGCGCTCACCAGCTGACGGGGGGAGTGGGCAGGACGCCCATCTTCTCGAAGAAGTCCTGGAAGGGGCGGCGGTACACGTCGCTGAGGCACGCGAACTGGCCCGCAAACAGGCGCTCCACGCCCTCCCACACGCACGCCTCTACCGGCCGCCACTGCGCCTCCGCCCGCCCGCCCGCGCCCGCCGGCAGCCACACCGGCAGAGGGCCGCCCTCGTCGCCCCTGTCAAAATCGACGAAAGGCTTTCAGTCTAGTACGTGCACGTGGACTGGGGCGAATGTCTTAAAAGACCTGGCCAACGATGATAAGTGGGCTTCAGAGTTCCATCCACGAAAAAAACGAACAGAAGTATCAATGGCCCGCCGCCTTTGACGCAAAAAAGTGGCTTGAGAAGGGTCAAGGTCCGGTGTTCGTGATCAAGAGCTATGCCCGGACCCGGGTAAGCCAGCTCGCTCATGCCAGGCGTACCAGTACAGCCAGCCGTTGGGGAGGCGGCATACCTGCGGATGGGCGGGGTCCAGCTGTTTGCGGCCAGGTAGCCGTACAGCTTCTGAGCACTCGTCAAGTCGACGGCTGAGGCGGGGCCACGTGCCAAGGTGCGGATGTGCGCCGCCACGTCGTCAGGAGTCACCTCGACCCGCACCTGGGGCAGCGAGCGGTGACAATGACGTTAGGAGGCAGTTGCAAGGAAGGACTCGGCTAGACTGGCAAAACTTGCGCGCAAGCAAGCAGCAGAGGCCCCCAGCATTGTACAGAAAACAAGCTGCAACGAGCAGAGGCAACGCCAGTACCGTACCCATCTCGCGCGGTTTTGGCAACAGGCTGGCGCGCGCTTACCCCGAGCCACTTGAGCGCGTCGATGTCCCCCGGGGTGGCCACACCTTCCACAACAAACGGCAGCGAGTCGCCCAGCAACCGCACCACTGCATCGCTCCGCATGAACGTCTGCGCACAGACCGCAAAGAGGAGTTACAATTGGTTGCTTCCCGGTTCGAATCTCTTCTACCTCGAAAGCTTCCGTTTTGAAAACTCGATCGCATTATGGTGGGGACAGAGAGGAAGCTCAGCACGAACGCGGCGCGCTGTGAATCGAAGCCAAAACTTGCATGTTCAAAGTTAAGACTGAGCAGCCTTTCTGTCACGGTCAGCTAGCGAGGCCCCTTGTTGCCCCCTGCAGCGCGCATACCTCTGCCGGCCTGCGCCCCCCCAGCGAGGTCGGCATCCAGGGCGCCTCCTTGCACAGCGCCGCAAACGTGGAGGGCTTGCCATCGCGGCCGCGTGCCCACGTGGCCTCCCGGCCGTCCTTGCTTGCCACCAGCACGGCCAGCCACTTGACCAGCGCGCGGGCGGCAGCCACGGGCAGGCCTGCCAACAACACACGGGGTCAGCGGCACGCAGTGCAGGCACCGAAGTGCTGGCAGCCCTCGAAGCGTTTACTGAAAGTTCCACTTGAAGAGTGCTGGACGCCCACTTGGACTTGAGGCACTGGATTTCGTCTATAACAAGAGAGCTGTTCCTTCTTTATCTCGCCCGCATGGCATCGACATAAGGCAACCACTGCTTTCCAGTCCTGCGCTTGTCATCTCTTTTTCTGGCCGTGTTCTCTCTGCGGCCCTCACCCTTGCGCGTGGCCCTGGCCTTGTCGAGGCAGGCGAGGCCCGTGCCGGCGGGGGGCTGGATGTGCGCGAGGTCGACGGCGGCCAGGTGGGTGCGCAGGAACGCGATGCGCGGGGCGCGCTGCTCCGGGTTGCTGCCCAGGTACGCGGGATGCAGCTTCACACACCGCTCCGCCCACGCCTTGTCACCGTCCAGCAGCGCGGGCCAGTCCGCCACGTCCCTGCACGGAACAACGGTCAGGGGCCGTGACGCCATGCAACGCAAGAGGATCACAGGACGAGGCAGCCTCGCTAGATCCAAGGGCTGTCATGCTGTGGCGCCTGACGCCCAAAAGATTTCCAACCCAACTCAAAAGACGACTAATGTGAGATAATCGAGATCTGCTAGGGGCCTTTCACAACAGCTCCGTCGTGAACTTCGACAGAAGGAGCGCACGCTTGGCCCCGCCTTTGGGTGTGCTGGCGCGCCGTACCTGGGCAGCAGGAGCATCTTGCTGCCCACCGCGGCTGCGCCCTTCTCTGCACCAGGCGCCGCCCACCGCAGGAGCACGGCGCCCGTCTCGGCCACCACTGCACACGTGCACCCACCGACGGAGACTCAGTGGCCAGACCAGAAGGTTTTTGTTCTTTATGTCTGCAAGAGGAGAAGAAATGCGGACGAGATCTTGCCACAAGTGAAATGCAGAACGAACTCTCTACAATAACGTATGGTCGGTCCAGGTGGCAGTGGGGTGCGTGTTCTCACACGGCAGGTCCGCAAGAGCGAGGTTGGCGAGGTCCGTGTCGGCGTGGGCGGCGTGCGCGGCCACGAAGAAGTCGGTGGCGGCCAGCAGCGGCGCCGCGTCGCGCAGGGTCTTGGCCACCTGCAGCACCTGCTCCGCATACGAGGCCACCGACAGGTCCTTCACCTGCGCCAGAACAAGGGCGGGCAAACACGGTAAGGCCGGACAGTTGAGGGCCTTGCGCAGCAGGGAGAGGAGCAGGGCTGCGCGAGCAGCTCAGCAGAGCAGCCGGTTCGAACATGTCTGTTTCAATGTTAATCTGCATACAAGTCGGCCCTCAAATAGAGGAGCATAAAAAACGCCTCCAGGCTCGTCGAGAGGAGATTGAACCGGGTCCGAATGCCCTAAGACGCCATTAGGTGAACACAGTACTCCTGTCGCAACAAAGCTTTCGTGGGACCATCAGAGTTGAGAGTGCTCGACAATCATGCCCAGCGCACGGAGGCTAACGGAGCGAAAGGAGCATGCCACCCAATTGGCGTCGTGCTGTCGGGGCGGCCCACCTGGAGGATCTTGCGCAGCCACTCCACGAGCTCCACGGCGCGCGGGGATGCGGAGAGAGCGGCGTAGAAGGAGGGGGCTAACAGCCGCACGGGCGCCAGCGGCTGCAGGCGGGCCACCTCCTGGAGCAGCCACGCGTCCTGCACACAGCGGGCAGGCAGCAAGGTTAGGGCGGCTCCAACGCCGGCGATGCCTTAAGACAAGGGGCGCCTTCCCGCTCGAGCGTAGCATCCGGCCGCTGCTGCCCATGTCGCCTCGCTCAGGCTCCTTGTACCACGTGAACGAGGTGACCGCAAACGAGAAGCGGCTGCTCCAGCCTGGCCGCCAGGCGGGGCGAGCCAGCAGTATAGTGCGCACCTGGGTGGCCTTGGGCGGCAGGTAGATGGGCTTCTGGAGGGTGGAGCGGCCGTGGTGCACGGCGCCGGTGGCCGGGTCCACGAAGCGTAGCGCGTCCGCCTTGGCGAGCGGCACCAGGTCGGGCGCGGGGAAGGCGGCGTCCAGCAGCAGCAGCAGCAGAGCCACGTACGCCTCGTCGCCCAACGACGACAGAAAGCTGCACGAACAGAGGCACGCAGGCACGCTCACAAGCTTGCAGAGCAGACCGGACATTGTTTTCATCCAAGCAGTCGTTCTGATGCTGATCAAGTGTGCCATGCTTGAGAGGAAGAACGAAGAGGAGCGAGGAAACCCGCAACTCTTATGTGAAGAGGGAATTGCCAAAGCCAGGGTGAAGCAGGGAAAGTAGCTAATGGACTCGAACAAGCAGCTAGCCCCCTGTGCCCGTGCCGCAGCTCACCCCGGGTCTGCAAAGATGGCGGTGTACTCCGCAGCCGAGGCCTTCTTGACGCCCAGGGCAGCCAGCTGCGCAGGGAAGCGTGCGGCGGCATCGGGGTGCACCAGGCCCAGCCGGTCCGCAGCAGGGGGCCCGGTTTGGAGGAGCGCTGCAGGAGACGAGAGCAGGAATGGCATGAGCTTCGCTTCTGATGCCAATACCTGGTGGGCCCCCAATCAAGGATGGGGCCGTAAGCTCCAGCGGCCGACCTTTCCGGCCTTCTTAACTGTAAGCTTGCGTTGACATGATACAAATGCCTTTTGAACCTCTGACGTCTATCTCTGTCTGACGCTTTTCCTGTCCTCCTTCCAACTCCCTGCAGAGCCAGGCTGGTGGCCCACCGGGAAGGGTGGCCCCGCCGCGCACTGCAGTGTCGAGCAAAGAGAGGAAGCCGGGGTGGACGATGCGCGCGCGCGCCGGCTCGCAGAAGGTGACGGGGGCTGGCGAGGCGGCAATGGGCGCGAGGGGCACGACGGGCTTGGTGGCCAGCTCGGCGACCATTTGCTGGCGCAGCGGCTCCAGCTTGGGCGTCGCGGTGCGCATGGGCAGGAAGCGCAGCACCTCGTACGACGGGGCAGCCCCGCCGCCAAACACAGGGAGGGGCGCCGACACGTTCTGCACGCAACGAGAGGGGAATTGACAAGCGGATACGAGAGACTCTGCACGGATACATCACCGGCGACTACAGCCCTACCTGCATTGGTAAATGAACCGTAATAGTCTCGGACGCGAGTCATGCAAGCGCCCTCAGAGTGGGGTGCCATTGCCCCATCACAGGCAAGACGCTGTTGGCAGGGACGGGCGCTACAGTTGAGCCAGAACCTGGATTGCTTGCAAAGCTACGAAGCAGAACCACGATGACTTGGGAGATATGGGCTCTTCTTTCTGTCCAGCTATTACAAACAGCCGTGGAAGCAGGAGTAACGGCCGGCTGGTGCTGCGCACAGCTTGGACGCTGGTGCTCCGCCGCGTACCTGGATCTCGAGGTAGCCCTCGACAAAGGCCGCGCGGGCGCATCCCAGCAGGCCTTGGTTCCAGGGGGTACCGAACGCGATGCTCTCTCTCGAAGCGGTCAGCAGGAAGTCAGCGTTGATCAGGAATGGCCACCCGCTGTGCACCTGCACGCACGCACGGGAACCAGCGTAAGAACCGAACCGTGGACACGGCCTGAGAACAGAGATTGAGATCCGATAAACGCCCTCTGGGGGTGAACAATTCGAGCAATCGCAGCTTCTTCTTCCTCGATGAGTGCAGATATGAAGTCTACCGTATGTATACTAAGCAGGACAATTTGAGCTACCTCGCCTCGTGCACAAAACACGAGGGCGCAGCCATCCAGCCGTCAAGCTGGCCGCGTGGCTGACCTCTGTCGGGAGGAAGGCATAGACGTCGGCGCGGTCAGCGGGGGGGTTGTCGTCGAGCGGGAAGGCGACGGTGACGCGCCAGACGTCGACGCCGACGCGCTTCTCCTCCTTGACGCCGGGGGGGACCATCCACGCGCCCTCGCGCAGCAGGTACGTCGTGGGGCGGGCGTGCGGCGTCTGCAGCTCAAAGACGGGCAGGGCGGGGTACGGCGCGCGGTGCTTGGCCACGCCGATGCTGTACGAGGGGGGGGCCGGGCATCGTAAACGTGCAGGCAGAACCAAAGAAAGCAGGGCGCATCCAGATACCGACTGCCGCTGTCAGTTCAGACTCCTTTCTGCAGTACCCAATGACAAATACAGCAAAGCGGAGAGCGAGCTCGACATGCCTCCGGTTCAGCTAATGGAGACATAACGATGGACACTCGCGCTTTCCTTTCTTCTTTGAAACACCGGATATTCTTAGAAGCTGGGGAACAGATTGTCCAAGTAGCACCGCACTAATCGTGTGCCAGGATGCAGTGTGGGTCTTCCGGTAGCATGCAGTGGTCAAAAGGGGGGCGCGTGCGTGCGGTGCGCTCACGTCTTGTTGTGGACCTTGTCGAGGATGACGAGGCTGCGCAGCTTGCGCAAAAACAGGATCGTCTCGGGCGCCAGCTCCGCGAGCTGCCGCTGCACGTCGGCGGCCTTGGCGGACTTGAGCGGCAGCAGGATGGCCGTGCGCGTGCCCGCAGGCGCACCCAGCTCCTGCAGCTGCGTCGCTCTCGGATGCTCTGCGGGGAGCCACGTGGGCACGATGTACCCGAGCTTCGCCGCGGGGTCCACGTCCTCGTCGAAGCTGGCACGCGGAAACACGGGGCAGCGGTCAGCGCGCGTGCACAGGCCGCGACAGAGCAGGCTTCAACTGACGGCCATCGCTGGTAGGCAAAAGGAAGCTGTCGTGACGCACTTGGCAGACCTCTCGTAATGTATTAGAAAGTCGAGAAACTAAGCTTGGTATTCCACCTAACGAACAAAAATGGTCCGTTCTGTTATCTCAGAACCCAGATAGGCGCTGGGATCAGGAAGGACAAAGATACCTCGTAAGAAACAGGGATGGCATCGAAAGCAAAGTGGGCACTGGACGTGCCAAACTCCCGGATACTATCCCAGCAGACACTCGAGATGCTGTGTACTTTGGAAGCGAAGTGGGCGATGAGCGATGAAACATTCTGGAGCACATGAACGATCAAAGCGTTGGGAATGTAACCGGAAAATGAGGTAGGGACGAAGGACAGATAAGGTTGAGGATCTGAGGATGTTAGGAAAGTAACATGTTCGACAGACTTTTGCTGACTTCAAACCATTGCAGACCACGTGTTGTCGAGGTAGGAAGGGGAACGAAGACGACTACCTATGCTAAATGATAGACTCCATCACGCACGCCAAGAGACCGTCTCGAACACAAGAAGAAAAGCCGTTAAAGTCGACTGTGTGCAGCCTGCCTAACCTAGATGCTTTGCCGAATGATCGTAAGCTGGGGTCCATAAGGGGCCGCGCTGACGTTCCTTTTGGGGCTCAAGGTTTTGAAACAGTTCTGGCACGCCACTTTACGAAGTTGTGTCTCACCAGAATCGATAGCCGTTGCTGATGACGCAGGGGGTCTTCGATACCACAAAGACGGACTTGAACCCTGTACCAGGAGAGAGGGCGTCTTCAGAAATCAACCACGAGCAGCCATGCACGAGGTTCAACCGGGCGTATGAATTGGACTTTTGAGCCGTTGCAGCGCCTTTGCAAATCGACAGAGTTACTTCGCATACCTCGTTCTCTAAATTGAGCGAAGCTGTGCATCATATAGGCAAGCTCAGCCAGCGTGAGTCGAGTGCCCTTACCAATGCCCTTTTCCCCAATGTACCCAAAGCTCTTGTCCTTCTTGGTCGACATCCCTGCAACCCGCAAATGGCAGCCGTTAACACGACTCTTAAGTTATGTAAAAGGTCGGGGCCAGACAACAGGAGGAAGTGCATCGCATGTGGCAGCCACCGCCTCTGGCAGTCCGGAGGACGCACACGAATTCGCGAGCCAAGAGGACGACCGGCAGACAGCGCCTGCACAAACAGTCTGGGCACGTATCCTCATAGCCAAGAATATGCCGTGCACTCGACAAGATTCCTCGGAGGCTTGATATCCGTAGGACCTGCAGCACCACGTCTCGCACGTCTCAATCACTCAGAAGTCGTAACATGAGCTCGACCTATGTGAACACTGGGATCCTGTTTGAATCTGTTTGGACGCCATCTACGTAGCGGGCACTTTCGACCTGCCGGCCCAGACCCTGATAGACAAAACGTCCCGGAAGCTTCCACCACTCACCCACGCTGCAGAGCGCGTCCACGTTCTCCTCCCTGAAGCCGACCTCGTTGTTGAACAGCCCCAGCGTCATGGGCGCCCCTTCTGCCGGGCTGCCCGCCGCTGTGGGGTCACCCGGCGCCAGCGAGAAGAGCAGCTGCGGCTCCTGGCCCTCGGGGTACGAGTTGTCCTCCGCGTTCTGAATCAGCTCCAGAATGAAGTGCCTGCCAACAACAGCGAGGAATCATCCGACTGTCTCGAAACGAAAGTGCCCAGTCGGGAAAAGTCTTTGCAAGATGCCCACTTTCTGAGGAGTGAACCATGATTCGCAAGGAAGGCTTCTCTCAGCGGTGCTTTCATCCTTTTTGACAGCTCAGACGAAAAGAAAACAGAAGCAAGAGCTATCCAGCGCAGCGAACAGGCTGAAGTCCGGCTGCCAATGATTGTCCGTGCTTGCGACCAAGGCCCTGCTTGCGCTGTGCCGCTTACGTCTCCTTCTGGTATAACCCCTGCGCCAGCAACGCCACCGCCTGGTGCATGTCGCCCGCGAGGGGGTTCGTGGCCAGGTCATCGCCGCCCAACCCAAACTTGTCCCGCCTGCGCAAAAGTCACAACCATGCCTGTCAGCAGGGACACAGAAAGCACAGTTACCTCCCCGAGGGTCTTGAGACAAGTATGGGCTGACGATACAGAACAGGCCTTTGATGCATGGTTTCCTGGTTCATCAGGAGATTTGGGCAAGTCCCCTTGCAATTGGGCACCAGCTTGGGCGATTCAGTAGACCCGAGCGAGCCGCCCAAGACTCCCAGCGATAGGCACTCTTCATTTCCAGAAAGCACGGAAAGGTTTGCGGGCAGAAGACAATAGCAGTCTGTCGAAGAAAAGTACATGTTGTAAGCAAGGGAGAACGGCTGCTAACGTGGACGAATATCCCATCATATCTGCACCGTGGGTCCCTTGTATACTTTTGAGGTGACTCTTGACAACAATTTATAATCTGCCTCCAGAACTGGAACCTTCCCCAAGCGGAAAAGGAGGATCTTCAAATGTCATAAGGCCAACAAAAAGAAATAATATATTACTGTTCAAAAAAGTGGAGCGGACGTGACTGGATTGTCACCGGTAAGGCATTAAAAGAAGAAAAGGTGTTCTCCAAAACTTCCTGCCAGTCACACTTCTGTAGGACAAGGAGTGAAATTGAAAAGCCAAAAAATAGAGGCTGAGCTCGACACCGAGAAAGCAATCTTGAGCGAATCAAAAAACAGATTAGAGCGAGAAGATTATCAGCGGGATCAGTATTAATGACATATAGAAACTTCCTGAGGTAGGCATGAAGACACGAGGCTTCCAGGAAGGTGACCCAAAGTCAATTAATGAAGTAAAACGGTTGCTCTCAACCGTCTCTGCAGTACATGCTATGGTAAAGCTTATGTTTTCTCTGAGACGCCGTGGTTTGCAATTGCCTACTGCGTGGTTGATTGAATTGAGGAGCCCAGTAAGAACCCCGCAACAGACGGACTTGCTCTGAAGTCGTGGTATTCTTACACAGAACAGGATATTCAGAGTTCCATTCCGAATTTTTCATTTTCAAATTGAATGCAAAAGAATGGACGGATGAGGGCGCCCTTCAGTGCCTCTCCAAAGTCATTGGGTGTCACCATGGTCGTTAAGGAGCTACCCAGCTTTGAACACCACCACTCAACAAGCAAAAGTTCTTGAAAAACTCTTGGCCATCAGCAAGCGTACAAGCTGATGATAAACACTATGCAACAGCAAGAATGAGCCAAAAGTTTCTCAAGAGATCTTTCAAAATTCAGCTCAATCGACAACACGTTCGCCCTGCCACCACCTACAACACAGCGGCACTGCGTCGATTGCTTCCTGAGATCGGAAGGTGCAGATGCAAGATAAGAAAGTGCACTGTTCTCAATGCTACAGCAATCTTTAGTAACCGCTTGCTGGACAGTCACTGGATCTGAGTGGGTTGACAGAGGAGCAGACATCATAAAGTTGCTGTCAAAAGACCAGGTAAGACGAGGATTGTGGAAAAACACTCATCTGCAAAAACAGAGTTTGTAGATTGAAAGGAGAGCCTCAGCCAACTTCACTCGGCGTACCTGATACGTTCAATGTGCTGCAGGGCCGTCTTGCTCGCATCAGCATCCATGTCGCCAGGAAGGACTCGTCCTTCTGGCGGTCTGAAGCAGGGACGCTCACCGCGAGGAATTGCTGCAACCAAGACAGCGTCCTGTTGGGAAGGCAGCGCAAGGAGCAGCGCAAAGAGCGCAATGCCGCATGGTGAGCTGGTGCAATCGACTTTGTGAAAACTTGAAGGAACTGGAACTTGGAAGGGCAGGTTGCCATGCAGCAAGTGGTCTCTTCAGTGTAGAATACAGTGCGGCTCAAACTAGTTGACCTCACATTGTAAAACGTGCGGTTCGCGGCCTGGGCGATTTCCGCGAATCAGAACCCTTACCGAAGCCCCTCCTCAGGCTTGCTCGACGCACCGTCTATTTTCCCAATCGGACGGACATGGTAAGGCGCTGAAATGCTGCTGACCTCACTACCCGCCAAAAAGCGCGAAAGTTACATGATGATCACCATGCTGCCGCACCGGTACATTTTATCAGGAAAGATACACGTCTGCAGCATATCGCAGCTTTGGCCTTGGAGCTCACTCTGGCGCTTTCGGCAATTAGTGTTGGACACTGTGGAAACGGGAAAGAATATTGTGAGGGCTGTCAACGACGACACTAACAGCTTTGGACGACATACATCGCCCTGGTATGAAAGTTTGCCGCCTGGACAATGCAGGGGGCTGGGCCTTCTGCTGTTTCGGATGATGAGCTGCTTTCTGCTCCCGTGTTGCCAGAGGTGCCCCTGAGGCGGCTCGTTGACGACTTCCTGGAGGCCACTGGCAAAAGCAACAAAAAGGCGGCTGCGGATGTGTTCTACTTGTTTGAGGCCTGCTGCAATAACTATGGCTGGGATAACAATGATAAGTGGACATACGAGGCCGCACATGCAGTGGGGAAAGATTTTATAGATGTGTCTGGTGCAGATGTCATAGGCAGCTGCGCTCGAGAATTCTTTGGTTACTTCGTGCCCAGAAAGGTGAGTCTCGATAGAAGTTGGCAATGCCAGGAGAATTGCAAGGAGCGTGCATACATTTCAAAATAACATCTTTCTCCAGGGGGTCCACACAGCCGTGCAAATCTTATGAGGCATAGCATTGCGCCAGAATGCTGGCAGAGCGAGATGAATTGATGATTTAGATGGTCGAAGATATGATGCATTCGGCTCTGTGATGAGAGAATGATCACTGTGTTTTGGATAGACCCGTCTGGGGCCTGCTAATATCAGGCAGGAACTGAGCTGCCCCTGTCCTTTCCAGGTCAATGCAGACCCCCGCTCCCTGAAGAAGATGGCCACGCAGATGGGCAGGTGAGCTGCCCAAGGAAAAGGACCAGCTGCGACGGTCTTCCGGTTGCTTGATGACGTGAGACCGCAGCAGTGCTAAAATTGCCCCCATTTGTTATTCCAAGGTTCTTTTGTCTTCGTGGGGCTAAGCGCTTTGCTGATGCGGTCCTGGGCCTATTGTGTGTCTCACCACTTCTGAAGGAGCTGTCTCTGGTCAGTGACCTTTTTGCCGGGATTGATTTGTTGGTAACTTGTGAAAGAAACTCAATCTGGTCAAACTTGAAGAGTGTTGGTTGCCTTTCCGTGCTTGGTCCTTCTGGCGTTAGGTTCAAAGGTTGTGTTTTTCACCACAGAGCCTCAGCTAGGTGCTCTAGATTGAGGCTGTCTCTCTGATGTCTAGGTGGTTTAAGTGGCTCCACAAGGGGGGGCATATTGACGAAACAAAGTCCAGAGAACTGCAAGGTGAGACATTGTGCATTTGGCTTGTGTGTACTGTGCACACACAAAGGAAGTCAGATAAACTGGTCATACAATCCAACGAGAGTTCTTTTGCTGAAAAGCATCTTTAGTTCATTGAGCACCCTTTCTTAGGCCAGCTGTTGACAAGTGCACCTAAGAAGTTGGTGCAAGCAGCTGCAAATCCCTGACAATCTCTCCCCGGCACCTTCTCTTTGTTATCTGCAGGAGTAATATCTTTGCTTTTTAATATTAAAACAAAAACAAGATGAAGTGAGGGCAGATGGGGCTGTTCGCAGATTGCATGACAATTCTTGCTCCCTGCTACCTTGAAATGCAGGTCTCTCTCTAGGCTCCTTGTTGTTCATGACCTACCAGTCAGAGCAACTAGGTGCGGGTACATAGATCCAGAACTGCACTGGTTGGCTGCAGGTCTTGCTAAGCAGAAGGAGACCGACTTGCCGAGGGGAGAGCAGGCCAGCCAGCTCTTGTTCCAACAGAGCCGGATGGCAAACCTCCAGGAGCCCATCATGGACTCCGCTGATGGTTACTTTGAAGTAAGTGTAAAGCCAACTGGACGATGCCCGTTACACTTCACATTTTGAAATTCGGCCGCGCTTATAGACTTCTGGCCTCTCCGTTTGGAGTGTTTTAACAAACGGAACGAAAGCGTACGAGATTGGACTCCTAGAATGCCAAGCTGCTCAATTGCGCACAATTTCATCCTGTTCAGATTGGTCATCGAGCTTGCCCAAAAGTGAAGACCTCTTGTATTCGCAGGTTGAGCGAGTTTCCACATCCAGCGTCACCCTCAGCGCGTTTCCGGCGGGCAGCAGTGGAGGCTTGAGCGATCCTGATGCCTTGGAGCTGACCCTGCCGCTGGGCATCACGCAGCTGCTGCGGAAAGGGGACACGGTGTGCCTCTCGCTGGTCAGGGATGCCACGGGGGACTGGAAGGTGCACCAGTCCGGGAACGTGTATCCAGATGGGAACGCCTCCGACTGAACCTCTTGTCCGGGGGTCAATGGCAGCCGGCTTTGGACCCACCTTCCAAGACTGTTTTGGACTCCATCGAAGAGATTTTGGTTGTCTTTTAAGTGACGAGATCTGCCCAGCCTTTTTCCGGTGTCGAAGTCAAGCACTGGTTTGCACGTTTTGTCGCTCGGTTTCCTGTTGCAATGGAAGTCGTGCCTAGGTGGTCGTGATCGGGACGTATAATAACTTAACGTTGAACGTGTTTCGCAAATTGTTCTTGTACAGCTTGCCGTTTGAAGGTCGATAGACTGCTGTGAGTCTTGAGCACCAGGCAGGGCCCTATATCTGCCGCCGCTCGGAAATCTGGTTGGTTTCTACGTCCTTGTAGAGCAATCTTTTGATGACTCGTACTCCAAATCCACAGATTATGTACCCATAACTAAAAGGTGCTCCGCAAAAGCTATGTGATCATCAGCCCATACAACGTATCTTATGAGCGAACAAAGAAGTTTACTCTAGATCAATAGACTCCCATGGCGTGTACCGACATCCGACCAACTCTGGTTCCGCAGCTCCCATGCCTGAGCTAGGCGTGGCTCCACAGTGACATTCTAAAGCGATCGGACATGCAAGTCATTCACCTAGCCGTTTCTATGGTAGACGAGATAGCCTATACCTAGGTAGCTATAGCTGACTGCATGTTGGTAACATAGCTGTTGGACGGCTCCGGTACGTGAATTGTCCTAGTGGTTGAGTATAGACGATCGATAAAAGAAGTAAGGCTGACATAAAACACCTAATTCGACACTTGTACGGAAAGCCTATGGCCCTACTGGCTTACGGCGTATTTGAAAATAGACCATCGTCCTGTACATTAACTGCATGATGAATGATAATAAGGGTACCGTCACTTTGAAGTGGCCGCCACCCGGTTACGTATTTCAATTAGAGGCACTTTGGCCGGAGGGTCCCAAGCCCCCCCCCCCTCCCGCGGCCTTGGCTTCAAAAGGTCAAGGCCCCAGTCCAGAAAGGCACAACCCGGGCAAATTTTATGGACAAATGTACTGTCGTATGGATGGATTTGCCCCTTCTTTACCTTGAAAAGTGTTTTTATGTCTCACTCATGGTCTAGAATTTCAGACCCATGGACTAAAAGAAGACAAATTAGCATGAAAAAGCAATGATATGTACTTCAGCTGAAATCCGGCCGCCTGGGGCTTCGCCCCATGCAAGTCAATTAGTCCCCACCTTCGCCGGGTTGGCTGAAGCAACCCAAGCCCCCCCCCCCCAACAGAATTCCTAAGGGGGTGCCACTTCAAAGTGACGGTACCCTGGCAGCATGATCGGGTCGGAATGTCGTGCACTGAGGCATCTCCGACTGGCTGCGACATCGAATTACGAGCTAATATATTCGTAAATCCGATTGACAGCTATCTTTTTGGTCATCTTGCATGGTGACTAAATTCTTGAACTCTCTTACAACCCCACTTTGCAGTGTGTGGTCTTGAAGAGCGGTGATCGGCAAATTGGCCTGATGGTGACTCATGCCATCCTTGACCACATGGGCTGGACGTGCATGCTCGTGCAGCAACACGTTACAACCAACAGGGTTGACGAGTTCAATTCGGATAATAATGAAACTGCTGCGACACATGCCATGATGCCCTATCATGATAGGGTACTCACAAGCTCCACTTCAAACCAGGACTTTCAATTCTCATATGTACACACTTCCGACTCACTAGACTGCGGAAAGTCATACTTTCTTCACAATTTGTACGACATCTTCGTCCTCTAAAACATGTTCCTGCAAGAGTTTCGATCAACGCTCTCTTTTAGAAAGCGTCCCCGCACGCACTCTTGACTCGATTCGCCCCAAGGAAAGATTCCGGCAAATGCAGTCGTATTTCCTATGCGAAGCCACAAAACAGAGCTGTACGTAAGGAGACCGGGCCAAAGCAAGCAGAGTCGATGAAGAAAGTGCAAGTACGTTCGGGAGTAGCATCGGTAGCTCACCTTTCCCACTTTTTGCGGTTTATGTTTCGCGCTGGATCCCCACACCAACGCGCTGCACCAACAAGAGAGCAGTCGATAAAGGGTACGGAGAGACCCACAAGTCGTGGACCAACATTCGTGCAAAGTGGCGTGCGAAAACCGGATGACGGAATGTAAAATTTTGCTGACCCACTCGCAGAAAACGGGCGAAGACGTTAAGAAGCGCTGGACCGCTTCAATGGATCACCAGCTAGTACTCCTGCAGCACTGAAACTGACTAGTGCACAATCCGAGCCGCCAACGCAACGGGCAGAACTCCAAGCTGGCCAAAACCCCCGGTGTGAGCTTACTTTTTGAACTGTTTGAGAATGTCTTTGTGTATCCGGTTGCAGAAGTCCTCAACGGTGGTGTGCTCCGCGCTGAGGATGACGGGGTCGTCGTAGTCCGGGTTCACGCCCTTGGGCTTGGTGTACCTGCACGCAGAACGCCGCGTGTCGGTCGCGCGGACTAGTGGGGCGGCATGAAGACACGGCCCTCTCAATCCGGTGACACTGTGAACCTTACGCTGTGGAGGCGGGACACTGAGAGCTGGCGACTCGTATCGTCATACAGTACCACGTGTGTTATACTGGGCACCTAGCCTTGGTGCTCCATGCAATAATAGTATTCGCCCGAGCAGCGGCGAGAAGCTCGCAGACTGCATAGCCCTCTGGAGTCGAGACCACTGTTACGCCCATGAGCGAGCAACTCGAAGCGCAGCCTCTACAGTGGCAAACAAGCCAATTGATGTGCGTTGCGCTCCACAAGGATAGCAAAGGACGAAAAGGGATCGTCGTATTGCTCAGCTACTCGGAGCCTCAACAACGCGCTTGCAACTGCGCAGCGGCGTCTGCTTGGGAGGGTGGGCGTGGGACTTACACTCGGATGAGGTTGAGGTACTCCCAGATTTTGTCGAGGAGGCCGTCCAGGTTCCACTCGAGGTGCGCGGAGACGGGGCAGTAGTGCGGCATGCGGTCCATCACCTGCAGCTCCTCCAGCGTGATCTGGTCCACCTTGTTCACCACGTACACGCACGGGATGTACTTCCTGCACACGCATCACCGCACCCGTCCGCCCTCTCAGCACAGCCCGTGTATTGATGATGGGCAGAGAGTACTATGCGAGGCAAGGTCGCCTCGCCAGGGTGAATGCGTCTTTGACAATAAAAGGAGAGCCTCTAATCTCGGCTTTTAGCAGCTACGTATCAGTCGTTGGCAGGGTACGACACACGTGCCAGTCCTCTCATTCTGCGGCCCTGAGACGGACTTCTGCAAGCCATTCCTTCACCTGTTCCCTTCGACAACGTCGATAAGGTCGTCCGCAGTGGCATCGTAGCGCAGCGTGATGTCGGCGTTGTGAATCTTGTACTCCCCCAGGATGGCCTTCACGGTTTCTGCGTCCAGCTGCGTGTTCTGCACCGTGGTCGTGAAGTTGATGCCGCCCTTGTCCTTGCGCCGGAACGTGATGTTGGGCGGCTGCTTGTTCAGCCGGATGCCAAACCCCTCCAGCTCCTTCTCAATCAGCCGCTTGTGGCTGATGGGCTTGATCGCGTCCAGCACAATGAGGATGCAGTTGCACGTGCGCGCCGTGCTGATCACCTGCCGCCCACGACCCTTGCCGTCCTTGGCGCCCTCAATGATACCAGGCAGGTCCAGCAACTGCACGGGTCACGCAACGCCAAGTTGTCAAACGTTCTCCCCTAGTCAAACATTGAAAAACGAGTGAAGGATATCACACAAAAAAACCTTCAGAAGGTGGCCGCCAGGGCGTCAAACGAGGACAAAGGTGCTGAAATCAATTTTTACGATTGATTTCAGCACCTTTGTCCTCGTTCGGCTCACTCCGCGGCACGCCGGAGTGAGACGAACGGAGCGCGAGCACTTGGCGAATCGACCAGTTCACAGTGGCCCAGGTACATGCAAACGCGCGGCTTCATGTATGAGAAGTGCGCACACGCACCTGGATCTTGGCCCCTCGGTAGCGAATGACCCCCGGGACACAGGTGAGCGTGGTGAACTCGTACGACGCCACCTCTGAGAAGGTCCCGGTCAGCTTATTCAGCAGCGTGGACTTGCCCACGGAGGGGAAGCCCACCAAGCCCACGCGCGAGTCTCCGGCCTTGGTGACATCAAACCCGGAGCCAGCCCCACCGCCGGCGCCCCGCTCCGAAGGGGCCAGAATCTCCCTCCGCAGCTTAGCAAGCTTGGCCTACGCAGACGGAAGACAGAGGTTTCGAATAATTGGCGTGGTACCAAGTGGCACACAATCTGGCAACTAAGTGACATCACCCAGGCAATCGGAGAAAGACAAACGAAAGGAAAGCGACAGGACAACATTCGAAATGAAGTTTGTGTCGAACAGCGTTGGCACGAGAAGACAGTACCGCTACAAGGCTAATTACTCGGGAGGTCCGCGATCAATGTGATACCAGAAGGAAGATCATGAGCAGTATAAGCATAACGCATTTGAGACGCCTGTCAAGTCCGCTGCTGATGATGCCAGAATGATTCCCTTCCTGTGCAAACAATAGACTGGAGCGAGCAGTGGTGTTGGTGGTGCGGCCTCACCTTGAGCAGGCCCAGGTGCTGGCTGGTCGCCTTGTTCTTCTGTGTGCGGGCCATCTGAGAGGGAGACCATCGCGCAAACCCTTGAGCGTTGATTGTGTCAGGCATCCCAACATACACTCAGATAAAGTATTGACCCAAGACTTTCTCTTCAGGATGTTCAGAACGTTTCATGCATACGGGAGAGCAATCCGTAACAGCAGGGAAGGCAGGGAGTGCTTTTGCAAAAACCATTTGCACACGGGTCGCAACGTAAGCCTACCTCGTCCTCGATGTCCTTGATTTTCTGCATGACGGTCGCCATGGCTGCTGGTGGAGGTCAATGCCCGCCCTGAGAAGCACTCTCAAAAGAAGGATGAAAGGACAGCTTTCGCCTTCGAGCCCACAGGCAAAAGCGCCACTCTCAGATGCAGAATGGAATCTCCAGCAGAAACTAAAAATTGAATATTTGATCATGCTTGCAATTTTCTTGTCTCTTTGCCCGCACGAGCCCAGCCGCACGAGATGCCGTTAACGGTTCCTCCGGCCTCGCATTCTAGTTCTTTTTGAATGGTAAAGGTTGAATTAAGCAGTTGTGGCGTTCGAGAAGCCACGTCGCTAGGATTGTACTTTTGAGCAGTCCACGGTCAGCACAGTCACAGCGGAACTTCGGAAGCAGCAAAAAGTATCTTCTGAGCAGGGGGGGAAGGTTTGCAGAACAGGGTGTTTGAAAGGCATGCCAATGGCGTCCCTTGCTTCTTGTAGCACGACAGCATGACAGGTTTTGGTTCGTGTATCACGCCTTGGAGTGGACTGCTGGTGAGTTCTGATCTCGAAACAGGAAGAAAGTCTTGGTTTGGCTAAGGCCCAGAGAATCAGCGAGCTTCTCTTTCAAGGCAGGGGCAAGTTCCATCAGGGTGCGTAGCGTGTTTAGGTAAGTCTCTTACGTTGGGAACTTGAGGCAGTGGCAACGAAATCCTGGTACTCGTGTGGGTTTTCGCAGAAGTCCATGGAGGGTGTGGCACTTGCCATCCTGCAATCCGGTGGAAGTTGCGTTGCTTGACCACGCGTTTGGGATGTTAGGGCTCAGTTTGTCTGGGAAGAGTCCGGAGGTTGAAGCTGCGGCCAAGGTTACCTTGTCGTTGAAACATGCAGTTTAGTAACGAGGAGCCTACCCGGGCGCCATACATCAGGCGGTTGGACGCTGGTTCCAGTCTGTGATTCTGATGAGAGCAACATTCGCTTTTAGCTAGACTCTTGGGGTTCCGCGAGGGGGCCATTCTTTGGCTCTGGCGGCAAGCACTATCATTGTCAGCTGCTGGCTGTCAGGACACTTTTTGGGCCCCCTTGCCCAGTGCGTCGGTCTTTTTGTAGCTCGCTGTCGTGAAGCTGGCGTGCATGCCTTGGGCCCGGCTGGGTACGTCTTCCATAGCATCCTCTTCAGAGCTGTTCTGGCAAAGCAATCGACAGCCTTGCAGCTGCGGCGGAAATTACTCCCCGCTACTTCTCTTTGCATCTCTAGTTTGTCAGCAAGGATTGAGGTTTGGATTGAGGTCTTCCAAGAAGCGGAAACTTTGATTTTGATGTGGCTCTTTTGTTCTGTTCAGGTAATGTTACTATAGCATGAGCCGAGGCTAGGTGTATTGTACTGCCCATATGGCGGAACACGGCAGGAGCGGTGGGCCGGAGGGTGTGCCGCGGGCAGCTTGCTCAGCAGACGGCTATCCGCAGGCCCCTCAGTCTTTGGCGAGGAATGAAGAACCGCGCATGGAAGAGGGCATTTCGGGGCATCAGCAGGAGAGGGGCTGGGGTCAGGATCAAGCGGCTGATTGGCAGGACGAGGAGGCGGCGGGAGTGGAGCAGGGCCGGGAGGCCCACGCCCAGCGGCAAGAGGGGCAGGCCGAGCAAGCGGGAGGCGGGCGGGCCTCAGAGCACTTGCTGGACGACGGCCATGACGGCAGGGGGTGGGGCCCGGCGCCTAGCACCAGTTGGCATCCCGGTCAGGAGCAGGACATGTATGAGAGGCCGAGATCTGGGGGCCCTGGGGGGCAGCCGGCTAGGGGCCACTCCAGGGAGGACGGAGCAGGGGCAGGGGGGTGGCAGCAGGAGGGGCGCCAGGGGAAAGGGGGGCATGCGCAGCAATGGCAACAACAGGTATGTAAGCTCAGTCTCAGGTGTTGGCAAAAGATTGACGAGATGAAGTTTAAGGCTGGATTGGTTTTCTGGCCCACTCGTATCTACTACATGGTTCTGGGAAAGTAGTGGAGTACGGGCTAAGCCCAGGATGCCAGCAAAGCCTTGGACCAGTCTGGGTGCGTTCATAGTCTGGGTGCTTCCAGTGTTTGTTCTTGACTGAGTGTGCTCTTTCTTAAGCTATGCGTGGATTAGTAACGTGATGTGACAGGTTTGAGCCCATTTTTTTGACACTGCCCTCTCCTCTGTTGGCAGCATCCACCTCATCCGGAGCAGCCGCCAGGTCATCGCCAGCCATCGCGAGGCCAAATGCAGCCCCCTCATCATCCAATGGGTGCCCCGAGTGATGCCTGGCATCATCTGCGGGGGGGGGGTGGCGAGCCGCGCCCCCAGAGTGCCCCCCCGCAGACCTGGCCGGCGCGCCCCCCAGTACGGCACCGAGAGGGCCCCGGGGCTTCACGGCCGCACAAGGGCGGCCTTCCTAGCATTCCTTCGAGCGAGTCTTTGGAGCGGTTGCGGGGGGCCATGGCGCAGGTGCAAGCTGCCCAGGCACACCCGGAGCAGCACGACATGCGGGCGCCCCCCCACGGCTTCCGGGAAGGTCCGGAGCAGGAGATGGCGCACACGGGGGGCATGCCGTCCCCCATGGAGATCATGCAGATGCGGCAGGCGGCTGCAGCCATGGCGGCCGCCAAGTATGCGTCGCGGCAAGCGGAGGGGTTGTTCGATCGAGGGCAGGGGGGTCGGCCTGAGGGCAGGGCGGGGCCTGGAGACGGGGGGGGCACGCGGGTGGCGCTGGACGGGATGGCCATATCGCCGGCGGTGGTGGAGGAGCGGCAGCGGCAGTGGCTGCTCATGCAACAGCACCAGCAAGCACTGCTGCAACACCGTCTGCAGCAACAGCAACAAGGACAGGTGGGGGGGGGGGGTGATGAGTACAGAGTGCAAGAGGGGCTGACGCACAGGATAGTCTTGGTCTGGACGTGAGGGGAGTGCTTGTGCAAGACGATGTTGGGCTCTACTTACGTCATCCCAGATCTGTTCCGTTTGCAGCTGGTGCCTTCCGTATTCTACTCTCGTTACAACAATGTGTTTGTTGTGTCCATTGTTGTCCACCCTGACACCCGCTGCTTCCTTTCCCCAGATGTCGGAGGAGCAGTTCCAGGCCGCAATGATGGCGCAGCAGCAGCTTGCGCGCATGCACGGCTGGCGTGGTCCCCACCCTGGTATGCCCCACCCCCTGGCCGCGCTGTCCCTGGGCCTGGGTATGGGCCTAGGCCAGCCCCCCTTGCAGCCGCCGGGCGATCATCAGCTCCAGGGTGTCCCGCATCCCCTGCCCCAGCGACACGCCCACTCTGAGGGGAGCCATCCGGTACAGCGGATGGGGGCGCAGCGCGAGGAGGCACCCGGACAGGTGAGAGCCGACTGCTGCGAAAAACGATGTTTGTGTCGGTGGGTTGTTCAAGTATTTGCTGCTGCAAGGTCTCGAAATGGAAGTCTGGTTAGTCTCTTGGTGACGCATCATTCTACTGCCGTTGTTTGCTGAGATCAGCTGCTTTGTTGTCTGGTTGTTGACAAAGCAGTGCGCCTGATTCTTGTTCTGCTTTCCATAGAAATTTCGGTCTATTGGTTTGAAACATGTGACGAAGAATCCCATTGTGACAGCATACTGACTGAGCTATATGACTTATTACAGGGGCAAGGCAGTGAAGGCCGTCCACCGCGGTCGAGCCTGGCGTCCGTTTCACAGCGCGCAAGCTCCCCCCAAACAGTTTCATACCAGAGCAACCTGGAGCGGCCAGACTTCGAGCGCGAGCGCCGCTACGTCATGCAGCAGCGTGCGCGGCAGCAGCAACTTCAAGAGCAGCAGCAGCACCAACAACAACAACAACAGCACTCACATTCGCAGCAGGCGCCCTCTCCTCGCTGGGGGGCCGCCTCGCTGGACACGTCTCAGCAGGGGCTCCCCCCCACCAGCCAGCGGCGCAGCCCCGGCCCTAGCTGGGGGGCTGGCCCAGCGCAGTCGCAGGAGGTGCAGGGGGGCATGCCGCGGGTGCGGTCGCGGGAGCAGCTGCTGTCGGAGATGCGCCGCTCGCGTTCACACGAGTCTCTGGAGCGGCACCCCCTGGCGCAGCAGCAGCGGGTGCAGCCCCCCCCGGTGCGACACCCCCAAGTGCCGCGCACGCTGTCCCCCACTAGCACTGCGCCGTCCAGCTTTGAGGCGGGCAGTGCGGAGCATGGCATCAGGGGTGGCCCCCAGACCTCGGCGGGGGGTGCGGTGCAGCGGCCTCGCGAGCGAGACTACCAGGGGGGCGAAAAGGACGGCTCCGAGCGTCCGGGGAGCCGCAACGAGGAGTGCGAGGAGCGGCGGTCGGCGGAGGCAGTGCGGCAGGCGCGGGTGCATATGAGCCACCTGGCAGGACCGTCGTCACAGCACGACGAGCGCGCCCACTCGCGGCCCAGCTCGGGCCCCCGGGTCCCCGCCTTCTCGGGGGCAGTGAGCACGGGGGCTCGTCCGGAAGGGAGGTCCGAGGGGGGCTCTCAGCGGCGGCCGGGGTCTGCTCAGGAGGGCGGCCACGGCGGAGGGCCGGCCGGAGAGCGTGAGTGGGGAGGAAGAGACGCAGGGCAGGCGAGGGAGGGTCTGGCTCGGCAAGGGGGCCGGGCGTCGCCAGTGCTGGGGGGCAGTGCGCGGGGCCCACTGGCGGTGCGGGAGTGGCTGAATCGGCCGGAACGGGTGGTGGACCGCGTGGAGAACCTGCACTTGTTCCGGCAGGTGGTGCTGCTGCTCGAGGCCGCACACCGGCAGGGCACCGTTGTGCGCGGAGTGCGCCCCTCCAACCTAGTTCTCATGGGCGCGCTCAAAGTGAGCCTTGCTGATGCGGAAGGAGGGGTGGGCACGTCCAAGGTGGTGTCGAGCGCAACGCGCAGCAATACGAGCGGGCGGCTGGGGTCGAGCCACCCGTCGGGCCTGCGCCCGGCACCGTCGGGGTCGAGCCAGGGGTCGCTGCCCAACAGGCAGCCCGCGGAGGCGAGCCCTACTGCGGGGACCTCGGGAGCAACGGGGGAGCCAGGCCTGGAGGGGACGGAAGGCGGGGGCGGGGTGCCGGTTATGGGGTCAGGGGGGCCGGGCGACAGGAATCTCCGACCAGGGGACGAGGGGGGACAGGAAGGTGCGGAGGGGCTTGGAGGCGAGCCGGAAGCAGGCAGAAGAGGAGCAGAGGGCGCAGGGGGAAGGGAGGGCCGGGCTGAGAAGGGGAAGCAGGCAGCGACGTCCCCAGTGAAGCGAGCGATGTCCCCTGGAGAGGCGGCGGAGGCGACGTGGTACACCAGCCCGGAGGAGATGATGGGCCACGTGGCTAGCCCAATGAGCGACATGTACAGTCTGGGCGTGCTGTTCTTCGAGCTGTTTCTGCCGCCCAGCGCACCGGCGGAGCGCGCGCGCGTCATGGCCGACCTGCGGCACCGCATCCTGCCGCCCTGGCTCCTGCTGGAGCACAGTAAAGAAGCCGCCTTCATGCTCTGGCTCTTGCACCCGGAACCCAACGCGCGACCCCGAGCGAGAGACGTGTTACAGAGTGACTTGTTGGCGGAGGCGACCGACGCGTTGGCGGAGCGGCAGGCGGCGATTGACCTGGAAGAAGCGGAGGCCGAGACGGAGGTGCTGGCAGAGTTCCTGCAGGCCATGGCCGCGCAGAAGGCGGCCGCGGCGGCGCAATTGCGCGCCGACCTGCAGCGACTGACGCACGACATCCAGGAGGTCGGCCGCCGCCGCGCGGCCATGGTGCCCCCCGGGGATGATGCCGAGAAGCGGTGGGGGGCAGGGGCCGACGGCAAAGGGGCCAAGAGGAAGCGCACCGAAGAGGACGAGGGGGCGGAGGACGAGGACGAAGAAGAGGAAGACGACGGGGGCGAGGTGCTGCGGAGCCCGGCGGTGGCGCGCAAGGCGGAGGCGCGGCGCAGCAAGCGGTCCCGGGTGATGCGCAACTTCGAGCACCTGGAGAAGGTCTACTTCGCCACACGATGGAGCTCCGCCGCTCGCGAGGGGGGGGCGCTGATAGCGCCTCTGGGTGGGGACGGCCGGCGGCCGGGCGCCAGCACGCACTCCGGGAGCGAGCTTCGTTCGGGGGGGGAGCCCAGCGGAAGCAACCGGGAGCCTGGGAGCAGTCTGACCGGGGTGCTGAACCCACCCCGCAAAGAGCGGCACCGGTCGCGGGCGCCGGGGGGTGGCGACTGGCTGGGCGCGTTTTTCGACAGTCTGTGCAAGTTTGCACGGTACAGCCGGTTCGAGGTGCGCGCCACGCTGCGGCACGGGGACCTGCTGAACACGGCCAACATGGTGTGCAGCCTCGGCTTCGACCGCGACGACGAGTTCTTTGCGACGGCGGGCGTGTGCAAGCGCATCAAGGTGTTCGAGTGCAACGCGGTGCTGAGCGAGGGCGTGGACATCCACTACCCCGTTGTGGAGATGGTGTCGCGCTCCAAGCTGAGCAGCATCTGCTGGAACAACTACATCAAGTCGCACATCGCGTCCTCCGACTACGAGGGCATCGTCCAGGTCAGCACGCTCGGAAAATTGGCGAAGGCTGGTGATTTGCTACTTCTAATTTGGTGTTCAGTCTTTTCATGCCTTCCAGGCTTCCCTGCTACTCGCCTTATTGGCTGATAGCGGTACTCGGGTTCCGTATCTGGCTTCGGTGATGCTCTTTGCTGACGCTTGCTAATCCTGTTTCTGCCGCAGCTGTGGGACGCGAGCACGAGCCAGGTGGTAATGCACTACGAGGAGCACGAGAAGCGTGCCTGGTCCGTCGACTTCTCCAAGGCCGACCCCACGCGCCTCGCCTCCGGCGGCGACGACGGCTGCGTCAAGCTCTGGTCCATCTCGCAGGTGCGCCACAAGAGCAGACAGTTGGCACAGGCCGGGCTGCGGGTCCTTCGGAATCATTCTTGATTTTTGAAACGCTTCTACAGGCCCTTCGTAAATCAAGCAAGTCATGTAGGTTTGAGCGTCTTGCCTAACAATGGCAATCCGTTGATGGCTGTGTTGGAGGATTGGGACGTTTCGTTGGTTTTCTCAACCAACGTTTCTGTTGCTGTTGAAAAGGACAAGGCTTCGCAGGATCTCGTTGGACATTCAAAGCTTGCCGTCCTGTACCTCAAGCCTGACGCGTCTTGTCCCCGTGCGCAGGAGCCGAGCGTGGCGACGATCAAGACGAAGGCGAACGTGTGCTGCGTCCAGTTTTCGAGCGAGTCGTCGCACCTGATTGCCTTCGGCAGCGCGGACTACAAGGTGTATGCGTACGATTTGCGCGCCACGCGCGCGCCGCTGGCGGTGCTGGCGGGCCACGGCAAGGCGGTGAGCTACGTCAAGTTCGTGGACGGCGGCACGCTGGTCAGCGCGTCCACGGACAACACGCTCAAGCTCTGGGACCTCGCCAAGGGGACCAACCCCACCACCGCGCCCGCCGCCTGCACGCTCTCCTACATAGGCCACACCAACGAAAAGGTGAGTCCCACGCCGAACTAGGGGGGTGGGCAGACAAACTTGTGGGGGGCAGGCCATGGCTGCATGGACCAAACGAGGCTCTCTTTGCAGCTTGTTTGGTTTCGGATGACCAACAGTGCACAAAGAGAGGAGTGTGTGCTGCTTCAATCTGGTCCCGTAAGAGCTTCTGGAGGGACCATGCTCGGTCAGCAACACGATCTTTTGCAGATCTGGATCCAGCAATGCGCTTGCATGGGATCTCTCCTCGTGTTTTGCTTATTTATCACTGATGTTCTCCTGCCGCAGAACTTCGTGGGGCTGTCGGTGTCAGACGGCTACATCGCGTGCGGGTCGGAGAACAACGCGGTCTATGCCTACCACAAGTCGCTGCCCATGCCCATGGCGTCGCACGCGTTCCGGGGGGCAGACCCGGTGACGGGACAGGAGATCGAGGACGACGCGGGCCAGTTTGTGAGCAGCGTGTGCTGGCGGGAAAGGTCCAACATGCTAGTTGCGGCTAACTCCATGGGCAACATCAAGTTGCTGGAGATGGTCTAGGTACGTGCTCATGTCGAAAAGAGGTCGTAACGACAGCGGGATTCGAGCTGCGGTTAGCAGCCAACGTGTTGACGCTCCGGTTGGTGACCGGGGCTGTGAGTTGGTAGCGTGTAAATAGATTGGTTCGTCAGAGCATATGATACAAGCATTTTTCCAGTTACAGCGAATACATTGGTGCCGTGTACCTCCTATAGACGAAAGTACAATGCAGAAAGACTTCCATGCTGGAACAGCAAAAAATAGAGTGCAATGTAGTGACAGACTTTTAACCTGACGCTGTCGACTAAGTCTTAAAAGAGAACTGTCCACCTTATTGTGGCCTCACGTGCATGTGCGGCCCAGGCGCACTAGGTGGAGACAATCATGGACTCATGCCTAAATCGGTGCGCCGCGGCCTCCACCATGTACCATGGTGTGTGTGAAGGCTGCCGGATCGCTTCGAAAGGCTGCATCAGGTGGCAGCCAGAGTATATCTGACGGCCAGGTGTACTATATAGAACATGTAAGTTCATATGTACATGTGACATATCAAGATTCCTTGATATGCAGGTACGTAGAGATGCATGAGTCCATATCACATATGCGCGTACCGTCATTTCAACTTCACATGCACACGGACCGTCGATCTTGATGCATGATGATTGAGTGCTTCAAGCAGAGCTAGCAGAGGTTCTGTCAATGTACCATCACTGTCACGTAAATTGTCACTGCGATGGCACATGCGAAAATAGTACAATCACTTCAGCAATTCCACGATCGCAAACTGACTCAATCAATGATATATGCCAGTCCTTGGACTCTGTCGCCGGCACGCATGCGAGTAAGCTAGCCATCAATGCTTAACTTAGTAAGTGATGCCAAAGCTCATCGCATGCGGTTTCTATGATCGACTTACAGGCTCTCGAGCTTCACTGATTCACAATTCAACATTCGCAAGCTGCCGCCGGCCGCCCAGGCTGATAGCTAGATTGGAAGGCCTGTGATATATGGCCGGCCTTAACCATTGCACCGCACGCGCACGCCCGGCATGTGCAGCCGCTATATACTAGCTACACCAAGGCCGGCCGGGCCGCAGATCCTTTAACTAGCGACGTACATATATTTTGAGATCGACGTGCATTATAGTAGATCATAATGTATGCTATGTATACATTATGCATACCTACTTTGAGTGACTTCTATCATTGCACTCAACTGCGGTAAAGCCGCATGCCGCTTGTGCTAAGGGATGCCCTCGGAGGAATTATTGAGCAATGGGATACTGGCTCCGAACCGACAAGCTAGACGCCTGCTCGCAAGCACATCTCCGAAGCACCGACATTGTACCCCACCAAACTCTTGAGTTTCAAGTTTCAACGAGCACTACTGCAGCGGATCGACCTGGAAGAGTGGGCATGTGACGGTATAATAGCCTTCAAACAAATTAGCTGTACGACGTCAGCCGCTTAGGAAAGGACACAATTAGAACTCTGTAGTGGGGATCGAGATGCTTTACGACCGCTACATAAAGAGAAACCATGCCAGTGTAAGATCTTGCTTGCAGGTAGATCAGATCATGTAGATGAATTAGCTTGTTAGGTAGAACTCGGCCCCGAACCCATGTACTCAATTAAGCCCCATGCCTCGGTACGGGCTTTATAATGTGATGTATGTATTGCACATATGCTACGTGCACGCAATTTATGATATGGTTCGAATGATCATATGCCCAATTTAATATAGTACCGTACTGCTTTTTAATATCGGCACCTTCGACGCAAAATAGTTAATTATGAAACGTTTGAAACTTTCGGCAGACCCAGCGTTACCTGCTAAAAAGAACCGTTATCGACCATTATCGCTCTTGGAAATTATTTAAAATTTTCAGCAGGCCAAATAATTATTTATTTTTCGCCGAATTTAAAAAGCAGTACGGTATCTAGGCTCAGTGCTATAAAGAACTTATTCGACGAAGTTCACTGCGTGTATGCATATGATTACATTGCCAAGCTTTGGCCGCCGTTGAACTTACATTCATGAACCCAGATCGTTAAACAATGCGCATGCATGTCGGCGGGTATACTTGAAGCCAGTGACTGAGGCATGTCGGACCGCGCGTGCCATGGAGGGCCAAAGTTCAAATATCTTTGTTTAGTGTGCAACAAAAGCATGTATCACAATTAATGCAGCACGTGCCAGGAACGGTGTTGTGACGCGTTCTAGTGCAACATGACGAGCACGATCTGTAATAGGATTGGCTCCAATCCTATTTTGAGCTCGAGCTCACAACTTTGGTTGTGATATATGAAGCTTCTGCTAGCACACTTGGTAGAAATGAAGTTAGTCCATTGAGGCTATGGTACAGTAGCCAAAGATACACACAATTTGTACATGTGCGACATGCAGTGAAGCAAGCCTATGGCGTGTTTGGCTGCGTCCAGAATCAAAAGAGACCACAATCATATGGTCATTTTGCATGACAGTCACAAACGTACGTACTGGATTCTCAATTGAGAAACTTAAGCGTGAGTCTTGACCCGGCAACGGATAGACTGAAGAGCAAGGCATGATAACGAATCAAACTTCAATATCGATTTCAAACCGTCATTTCAGATCATGATTTCCGGAAGTAAACCTGTTTTGGTACTACTACTCCTTCTGATACGGATTGGCCGTCAGTGACCAGATTCCGTCGGACCTAAGCTAGCCCCTAGCTCCTTCCCAACCTTGGAAGGCGCGGATGCAACACGTGCGGGCTCGTACGAGCCCAACATCTAACTCGACCTCTTACTAGAAGCCAGAATGGTGGCTGCCTACCTAATTCTCATTCAAACTAGCTGCCCCTTAGTTTACCTCGTCGTCCTCAGTGTCATCGTCGCTGAACGCCGTGCCGTAGCCCTCGCTCGTCTGCCACCCCCCGATCTTGGGATACCACGACGGCTTGCTCGCGTTGCTCGCGGCTCTGGGTGCCGGCGTGCCTCCCCGGGGCCCGCCCCTCTGCGGCAGTTTCTGGCCCAGCCGGATGGCCCGCTGCTGTTCCACGAAGTTGAGCTTGCGGCCCCGCGGCACGGGCGGCCGCAGCCAGCGCCGCAGGCTGGCCGCCGAGATGGTGATAGAGCCACTGCTCTCGTGGCCGTCGAAGCGCAGCTGCAGCCGCCGCAGCAACGACCCCACCGCAATCGCGCTCCTGCAAAACAGAGAGGAGCCGTGAGGTTGTCGTGGACTCCGTTATGCGTCTATCGACGTCTTGGCTAACGACGTCTTGGCTAAGAGAGGGGTTCCGACGGGAAGAGGCTTGCCCAATCTGCTGCAAGTGCTTTTGAATCTCCTTTGAGAAATCGGTCCAATCACGTTGACCAATCAAAGTAGTGTGATTGCGACGCTTTCCTTATTTCAGGTCGGAAAGGAGGAGGGCACGCAGACGAACAGCAACGGCCCTGACCTGGAGGAGATGTGGATCATGTGGCCCTCCATCTCCTTGTTGGGCGACGGCTCCAAATGCGTCTTCAGCTTGAGCGTGATGGGGTACAGCTTGGCAGCCGCGCCTGCAGCCCGACATCTCACAGAATCAGCCACCGAGCTAGGCACCATGACAAGTCCACAGCCAGGAACGAACAAGCCTCGGACACCGAGTTGTCTGTACGCGACACAAAGCAGGGCCTGCAGGCTGGAACCAGCTTTTCTGGTCTTCGAAGCTGCTGGGTTTTGTCGAGACTCTGGCTGCTCGCAGTAAGCGCCATCACGTGATTATACGAGTCCAAGAGGCCACACTTGCTTGTCACTCTAGCCGGAGCCTTCGAGGCATAGAATCGAAGGGCCCTGCTAGAGAGACAAGCATGCCTCTTACTCAGTGATGTTCACTTGTGCGCCGAGGAACATCTGTGCGCTGCGGTGAATATTACGAGTTTCTGTTTTCACACTGCAATATTGCACCAGGACTACAATACCCCCGTTTTACATCGGATCAAGCACGGCTTCCACGTCTATCGGACACCCTCTGCGTGCCCCTTCTTGCGGCTCACCTGCTGCCTGCTTGAGCCGGACCCTCTTGATCATGGCCAGCACGCACACCTCCGCCGCGTTGGGCGGCAGGTACGTCATGTCCAGCGTGGCGGGCCCCGCCATGCTGCACTGCGGCATGCTGACTTTCGCCGCCACTTCCTCGTACAGCGCCACCGCCCCCGGGCTGTACAGCCCCGCGCCGTCGTCCGTGAACAGCCCCTCCCCGGTGGGCTGCCGCCCGCGCGAGCGCTTTCCGGGGGCCCTCCTGCTGGCGCGCCACACGGACGTGATGGTCGGGCCGGGCGTGGCGGGCAGCTTGAAGCAGCCCAGCAGCATCGAGAACGTGCCGACGGGCACGCGCACGCCTGCGGCAACGGTCTCCCGGTAGACCTGCAGCGCGCGGTACGCCCTGCGCAGGAAGGCAGGGAAGAGGATCAGAAGCGGGCGGAGCGGGCAGGGTGGGAACTACAAGCGGTCGAGGAGAATTAGAACGCAAAGCAAGTGGTGGAGGGCCCTTCTGCAAGTGCCAAAAGAAACAGATGATCGCCCTGAAGCGCTCAACAAGAGTTTACAAAGGACAAATGATGTCCGGGACCTTTTTGAACGCAAAACGTTTGGCATCCTCGTTCAGACTAGCTGTGCCGCAATGAACTGAGAAGGAAGAAGCGTGATGCGGGACGAACTGCATATAGAAAACCACAGCGTGCCGAGCAACATTGGGCCCGTGACCCGAACGTCTAACATTCAACGACCGGTTGGTGGATGGCCGGGGCTTACCACTGGGTGCGCGGGGGCTGCTTGGCAACCTCCCAGGCCCAAGGGCCCACACTGGTCGCCGGAGAAGGCGCGCCCGCATTGGACCAGATCTGGTTCGCACAAATCTCTGCAGGACAGCGGCACAGCGCGAGGTCAGCATCACCTTCAACATCAAGTTACGCTGAAAGAGGGATGTCTGTGGACCGGGAAGAGAGCAGGTACGCCAAGCGCTATTGGTCTCGTGTCTGGGGGGAGGAGTGCTTCAACAAGGGCATGGAATATGATACTTGAAAATGAAAGAAGCAAGAAAGGTGGCCCCTGCCCTGGAACGAACAGGTCGAGAGTAGGGATGCTCCCCGAGAGCATTGTCTTCACGCACATGGCCGGCTGCTTACCAGTGAGCACTTTGCAGGCTGTGAGGAATGGCGGGATGCCCTCTGCAAGAGCCATGTGATACAGCTCGAACGCCTGGTCGGCCTCCTTCTTACTGCAGGCAGGAAGACACAACATTGAGTAAGATGCCCGTATTCGAAAGAGCTGGCATCGTAGACAGTGCCACTTCATCTCGCAGTAACAGTTTTGAACCAAAAGAAAAGAATCCATCCGCAAGCACTGCAACAATGGGAAGGTTTCGGACTGCTCTTACGGCAGCGAATCGAAGCTCGACTACCTCCCAAAAGCCCAGTACCAATACTCGGAATAGAAGCTGGCCAGCCTAGGCAAAGGTGGGGTGTGGAGCTCACGAGGCGCATGCGTGCAGGAGGGAGGAGTAGGTGATCCTGTCAGGCTTGACACCGCGGCTGCGCATGTCGTCTAGCAGGGCCAGCGCCTCTGAGAGGTGCCCCGCGCGGCCCTTCACGCCGATCAGCGCGTTGTAAATGGCCGCCGACGGCACAATGCCCTCCGCCTGCATCTGGTCGAATAGCCGCTCCGACTCGGGGATCATGCCCGCCTGCGAAAAGCGAGCAGAAAGGGCCGTCAAAGTCTGGGCCCGTCTCAGTCAACGCCTGAGAAATTTGTTTTTGAAGCATTCGAGCAGCGACCCTTGGCAAAAAAAGTCATCGCACAAAAAAAACAAGCAAATACCTGAACACTTCGGGAGTACGAATCCCTCGACCCTAGGAACCATAATCAAAGTTCACGACAAAGACGTAACAAAAGCTCATTGATCAGGAGATACCCACCTTTCCGAACATGCCGATGAGCGCTCCATAAGTGACGGCACCGATTGGCACGCCCGCAACTCGCATCTCGGTGAGCAGGTACAGTGCTACGTCCAGCTGGCCTGAATGGCCCGCCACGTCGATCAGAGCGCTGAACACCACCTGCATTCAGCACACAAGATAGAGGTCGAAAACCTGAAATCTCATATGAATTCGCTCGCTGGGTGCACATACTCGTCTCTTTGTCGACAGATTGACAGCAGTGGTCGTTCCGTGCCAGGGAGAGTACATATCCTGAAAGACGGGTCTAGGCTTGCTAGCCAAAGCACAGTCGTGGCAGGATCGTTGAGGAGATTGGAGGGGAGTCGTCGAAACAGAACTTTAAGAGCCGTCCAGCGACTTCGCACCTCGTCGGGCATGATGCCTGCTGCGCGCATGTCTGCATAGATGGCGAGCGCCTTTGCCACGTCCCCGTCCTTGCTGCAGGCATGCACCAGCGACGTGTACACCTCCCTGGACGGCATCACGCCGCCCTCCACCATCCCCGCATAGATCTCTATCGCGCGCTCCAGCTGCAACGCCCAAAGTGGAGACGTGTCAGCGAGGTGGACGATCAAGACGAAGGGTGCTGCGCCTACGGCTCAGCCCTTTCTGAAAACCAGTGGTTTGGTCAGCGACCTTTAATAATACTTCCTCCTCACTTTGTGCGCACATGATTAGCTATACGATCCACCTTACCAATCTTAAAGTATGAACTTGATTCCCAAGAGGAATCAACCGTATCTCTAAGAGGTAGCCAACTCCTCTCACGACCTTTTGCAGCGGATCTGTCGTATGCAACCTGGCCACTGAGAAGCGTGACCGAACCTTGCACCACTCAGCATGACCTCGGAGTGTCTGCTCGGGCACTCACCTCTCCCGCTTGTGCGCATGCATTGACGAGCGTGCCGAGCGTGATGGCGTCCGGCTTCAGACCCTGTATCGCCATGTCGCCATACACGTCGAACGCTCGCGCGACCACCCCGGACCGGCCACACGCGTTGATCAGCGAGTTGAAGACTGCTTGGTCGGGCTTGATGTTCTGCACAGCCAACAGCGAAGCCTTGACTGCGACTTCACGACCGAGTATTATTCTCGCGCACAACTGAAGTTTGAGGGAAACTTCGTGCAGTTGCGCACCAGACCCTGCAACTTGCCCCTCGAACGCCAAGGCTGGCCATCAATGCTTGGAAGAGTCTCACAATAAACAACAGCTTGTCTCAACGGAACTCCATCTGCACACTTCCACTGCCACAGCTGCCTCAGAAGCGGACAACTCAGTCAGGCGCTCACCTTCTTGAGCATGATGCTGTAGGCTCCGAAGGCCTTGGCCACCTGGCGCACTTCCGCACAGCCGTGGATGAGCGCGGCAAACGTGTACCGGTTCGGCTCCACGCCCGCAGCCTCCATGTCGTGGAACACCTGCCGGAGCACAGGACTGGGCGCTCAGCAACAAGAGTACAATTTCTCCATATGGGTACATAGGACTTGTAGAATTGCCGAATTGACAAAAGACAAGGGAAATGTGGTTTCTCGATTTTGCAAAACTTTCGTGACACATGATCTCGAGATGAGGATTGACTCCGATAACATAATGATGTACCGACGTCTTTTCCACAGCCAGCCAGTCAAGCGAAGATAAGCGCCACTGTGTCGTCAAGAAGACCAATCGGGTTAGAGTAAGACGCCATTAAAATAACTATCTTCTCGCAAAATCTGCAAGTCAAGCACTTACCTTGAACGCAAGGTCCAGCCTCCTGGCGTTCATGCAGGTGGTGATGAGCCCCGTGTACAGATGGCAGTCTGGGACCACCCTCGCGCCGTGCGCCACGGCCAGCACGTCGAAACCACCTGCAAGAGGAAGGACAAGGAGCTGAGCAGGGGGAACGGCGACTTCTCGAAAGACGCAGTTGAGAAGCGGAACAGAACAATCACAGGGTTGCGCACTTTGAATCGCAGAGATGGTTCCGTGCAGACAAATGTCAAGTGCCACACGTGACCCTCGAGACTGCAACGACCTCGAAAAGCAGACAGGATAAGCGGATTGTAACCAGCCAGAACAGCTACCTTCCATGACGGGCTTCCTTTCGGGTCTGAAAGTGACGAAGCACCACAAAAAAACATTTTGTACTTACGATCCACATCGGCCTTCTGAGCACAAACCCCCATGACGGAGGTCAGCAGGGTGAGCGTGGGCGCGCGGAACAGCTTGAGGAAGCGTACACTCAGAGCAGCGTCTGGCTGGGAAGCGCACAGCTGCAGCACACGCTGGTGCGACACGTGCTGCAATTCCACCAGCACAAGTTCATAAGACACTTTCGTGGGGGTAGAGTGTTCGTGGGGGCTTGAGTCGATTTGACCTCCACAGCGTTTGATGCTCCACCTACAACGTTATGGGTGATGAATGGCGCTGCTGATTGCGGGAAAAGGTCAACCTCTCCTTGGACCCATCATCAACGCACTACGCTTTGGATTGCAAGCGTTAGCATCTGCCTGTGCCGATTGAAGTCAACGAAAGGGCATCCAACAAATGTCGCAGAGGATTTTTCGAGCGTTTAATGTGTTTCGAGGGTTTAACATGCGGCATGCCTTACCTTCTTGATATTTAGAAGTCCTGCCTGCTGTCCTGCCTCTATGATGTCTATGCACTCCTTAGCCCTGTATCAAGAAACACCGAATATCGAGTGTTGAAACATGTTACTGACAATGGGGAGACTCGGGTTCCAAACTTCAATGGCCATACCTCGATTCTGCTGCTTCGCGGTCTTCTAGACTGGCACCTGGACCTTTTGACTTGACCCTTATCACAGCATGCGTCAGCACCCCTCACTCGTCAACCTGCAATTTGTCCATCTGAAGCTTTGGGTACAAGAAACATATCTGACTGGTGGTGAATTCAGGAAGAGAATCCATGCCAAAATGCAGCTGCCTCATAGCACATACTGCTGCCCCCATCCCTCTCACCTCCTCTTCTGCAAGCAGTGCCGATATTCCGCGAGAAATCCTCCCCGTGTCATCAACCTTGCGTCCTCCTTTTCAACGGGCCGCTCCAGGACAGCCACGCCTAATGTCACCCCAGCCTTCCCCCTCTCTACGCTAACACTGTCTTCATTGGGACCTTCTGCCAGCACGCCCCCAAGGCTGCTGCCAACACTCCCATTCTCAGCACTGTTCTGCGAGTTCTCCGCTCCGCTTTTACTGCTTCCCTCTGAGGGCCCCGCAGGAGCCTCCCGCCTAGCCTGGTCTTCTTCTTCCTCAAGCACGAGAAGCCCGTTGCTCGATCCGCTCTCAGCACTTACTTCAGCACCCAAAGCGTCCTTCACCGATTGCTCTACTGCAACCCCGTTTGCAGAGCCATTCGGGCCATGGTCATCTGGCTCAGGCTGCGTTGCGGCTTCTTCATCGGGGTCGATTGGGTTTTTCCAGACGGGGTGCTTTACTGGGGGTTTGTGCAACGCACGATTCAGATGTTCCACTGTGCTGCTGTGGCTGGCAGTGGGGGTACTGGCGGCTGCATGCCCATTTGGGGCACTGCCGTTGAGGTAACTAGTGGCCGGCTCCACCTGTAGCCGAAGTTGCCACGTGCTCAGAAGGTGCTCTCGTGATAACAAGTCCCCTTTCACACCAAAAGAATTGCCGTCCAATCAGAACCTTTGACCAGCGCTTAGGGGCCTCAAAGACAGTGCTGATGATCGCTACCACACATTTTTGTGCTGACAAGTGCCTTCAAATGGTGCCTGCTTACCCTTGCCCGCTCCAGGTACTGCTCCAGCCAAGCCACCGTAGTTGCATCCAGCTCTGGCACAGGATCCGTCAGTCGCAAGCTGCACACAACCGAGCGGCAAGAGTCAAGGGGCAACCTCGACTTAGAAAAATCACTGATGATGCAGCTAGGCAGAAAACGAATTGCAAGTGATCAGAAGCCATTAAGAGCAACCAACAGCAGATAGGTTGCTTTCTACGACGAGGAGCTGTGACTACGCCCATCCAAGGAACCAAAGAGTGAGTCTGCATACCTGTCGTTCTTCTGCAGGAGCACGCGACAGATCGCCACGCGCCTTTCCTCTCCGCCAGATGCGGCCCCCACCTCAGCGAGGACCCCCGCCGCCACTGACATCCTTTCCCCCGCATCGGAGCAGGCGTCCAGCGACCCCTGCAGGCTCCGCAGCTTGCCCGCCAGCGCCTCAACATCCACCCCCGCCGCCGCCATGTCTGCACTCAGCCCCTCGAAGTCGCGCAGCAACCGACGGGTCTCTTCCAGAGTGGGCTGCAGACCGACCTCAACTTATGTCAAGAGTTGCAAGAAGCCTCTCTTCAAGCACCATCTCCCGCCACGTCTCTTGGCCGAACAAGGAGATGCCCCATCTCTTCCTTCCACCACCATGGCTGGTGCATTATATCAAGTGACCATCATCGATGCCACTCAAAGAGTCCGAGGCAGAGGCACAAAGGTAGGATTGGAACACTGAATGCTTAAGCTATAAGCAGGGCATGTGCCACTCAATGCGGCTCACCCGGATAGACTCCATGACAACCGGTCCTGCGCACTTGTATCCATTAACTTGAGAAGCCGCATTGTATGCCTCCTCCAAAGAGGTGGCCGCTGCCGACACGCTCGGCGCTGCAGTTGCCGCCTTTCCTAGCGCAGCGCCCGTCACGGCCCTGCCGCTGCCAGGCCGCATACTGCGCAACAGCTCCTTCCCCACTGGAGTCACCTACGGGATACAAGAGAGCTCCAATCGACCAGGGGCTCCAGCCGGCACCCCTTGCGGAGAGGTTTTGCAGTTGCAGGCACAGGAATGCTTGTTGAAGATGATGCATGAGCTTTGGTGAGCAATCTGCAAATAGTAGCCCTAGCTTCTTTGAGAAGGATACTCACCAGACACACCCCGAGCAACAAGATTGCTGAGGGCAGCAAAGCAGCACTTCCTCCGGAGAAAAGGTACTCCGTGGGACCCTGAAGAAACAAGACAGGTTGCATCAGCACAATGCTAGGCGGTTTGCCTTTCTATCTATGGCAACTAGCATCATGATTTGGGACAAATCATGACTGGTTTAAGCCACAAATCGGGCAATTCCCGGGTGTGCCACTCCACAACACGTTGCCAGGAAAGACACGCCTTGCTGCTCTGGTTCAGGCCAAGCTTAGAAGCATTCTCACATATATACCACTTGCTTGGAAGGCGAGAAAGGCGCTAGCCAGACTCCTCTCCTCCAGGCATTCCCTCCCGCTCGGTTCGGCATCACCAGGGCTGTGATCAGCCTGGAAAACAATAGCAGCAGACCAAGTGAGAACTTGAAGGAAACGAACCAGCCTTTTTGATCCAAAACTGGCATGATTCCAAGGTTTTAAGGCAGACAGTGATGCACCAACTGCAGGACGGCTCTTCTCATCACTCGTCTTGACCACCATGGCTCATCGGACTCAAGATTGAAGACGATGGCTTCCATCTCTTGATAAAAGTGACGGGTGCCCGTGCACATTGTGCGCCGCAATTGATCCTCATCAAGGGATCCTGCAAGGCTGGCACCCCATGTTTCCTTGCCTGCACTGTCGAACCTCCGCTTGTACAAACTTCTGGATCCACAGAGGTGGCCTCAGCGACACCACTGCCGACGAAAGTGCCTGCCAGGAGACCCAGCAGAGCCCGCCTCCCTAAACCTGCTTCAGAAACCGAGCTTTCTCCGGTTTGCTGACCACCATGCTTGAATTCCAATCGTGTAGTAACCTGCACAGTCAAGGGGCCAATGAAATTGCTCGTAAGCCAATAAGACCATTAGTCTTGCCGACGAGGGTGCTATTGAACCCTACTTTGGTTGAAGAAGCGAAGAAGGTGATCAAATTTGAGCCTGGCCATCAGGATCAAGAGGCTTGCTCTCTTGCGCATATGGTCTTGAATCTCTCAACCAAAACCGATCCATTCACATGATGACCGCTCAAGGTTGTGACTCAAGCAGTCTTGTGACCTTTCAAAGACTCACCCTTTGAGCATTCTGAGCTGCAGAACCGTCTACTTCGTCCTGCAGCGCCGACCGAGGGTGGTGCGGTATGCTTGCGGAACAGCACAACTTAATCCTGGCAGCTTCATGTGACCAGCAACGCTGCAATTGCCTAGACTTGCCATTCCCGGTTCTCGGACTTCCTAATGCACCTCTCCGGCTCAAAGAACCCAGATTTCGCGCTCTGCAGATGCCTAGTGCATTGTCAGATACCTGTGCTCCCTCGAAGAGCAGGGGCCAGTGCATCGAGAGCCCTCTGACACAAGGGACCAGCGTTAAATGCTGACCGTCCGAGCACCTCCTGTTGCAGCCAAACCTTGAACCTAGATGGCAACCAGGTCCATTCCTAGCATGCGGTCTGCCTGCCAATGCTTTGCCCTGCACCTTGATCCGCTTGTGCTTTGTCCGCAATCTTAGATGATTCAGACATTGCCCCCCAGCACGAACGGCTCGCTCTGACAACCCCGACATACTTCCTCCAAGGACCGCCACCCCTGACCCTTCGCGTAGCAGCTGGCTGGCCATGGTCCAATCTATGATGATTGAAGAGATTCCTGTGACAAGAACAGCTCTTACAACACATACAGAGAAAAGAATGCTCAGTACTTTTGAAATAGCTGCATTCGGATCCGCGGATCTTCCAGATTCATGATGCCAAAAGGAAGATGCCCGCCATCAACAACAGGACGAGACTTTCCTAGCCTTCAACATTGAGTTTGATGAACCATTGCTGGTATCCCAGTTTCGCGGTAACCACCCATCAGACGCCCTTTTCAGTTGGGTTGAATACGGTATCTCCTGCCAAAACAGCCAAAAGCACAAACTGGCGGATTCATCTTTGTCAGGGACGCTTTTCAAGATTGCACTTTTCAAAGCTGGTCGGCTGACCCCTCGAGGGTTCACCCAAACCGCAAAAGGATGGCCCTCAAACAACCTACAACCATTGATCGCCGTTCATTCTGATCGACACGTAGGATCGGACGCAGATCTAGCCCCAAAAGTTTGGATTAAGGTTAGGTGCATTACCTGGGGACGCGGAACATGGGCTAGAAATTTCACCGTCCGAAATTTGTCGGACGAAGTCGGGGCGGTACCAAACCGCGCGCGGTACTCGTTCAATACGCCGGCCCCCCGTATGAAATTCAAAATTCAAATCGCGAAAGGCCATTTTGGCAGCTCTGTACCACTTTTTCCACGCGAAAAGCCACCAACCTGGACTTTGGGCTGGACTCAATCTCCTCTGGGCCTTGACATTCGCCGTTGAGATCGTGACATAGGGCCTTGAAACACGGATTTGACAACGCATTTTGGGCAGCATTTGACGTTTTCAAGCAAACAAAGCCATTTTTGCGCCCCTTTACCACGTTTACCTCAACGAATCTCAGTAACCTAAAGAAGGTAATCGCTATATTCAAGTGAGGTCTTGACATATTGGCGTTGAGATCTGGTAAACGCACTTGGATTATTCTTATAAGGCCACCACTTTCCAGCATTTGCAGCCTCCGGTCAAATTTGAAACTTGAAATTGCATTCCTTTAAGTGTTCGCTTTGTGGCAGTCTGCAGTGTGCACTTGTGCACTGGTTTCACTGGCCGAGTTCAGATCTTCGGCTGTAGCCGTCTCGGAGGTACGGTACCGAGGCTTTCCAACCGGGGTGTCCGAGACCGTCCGAAGTGAAAGTTCCAGTCTGGGGCTCGGTGAAATAGTTTAGCCCATGTTCCGCGTCCCCACATTACCTCGGTTAAGCTCTTGGTTAGACGGAGATACGGAATCTGCGAGGGATTCACAATTTTGCCTAGGGAGTTTAGGCTCTCGTTCCAAGGACAGGCCAAACATGGCATGGGCTATCTCATCGGAGGGCTGTAAAGAAGCTTCTGAAGAATCGGATGGACATATTGCGTCCCAAAGCACGGCTTGAGGCTGAGCTTAAATGTGCATGCAGCATCCGCATGCTACGCATCACTGTCAGTGTCAGTGATTGTTCGCACCTGTTCAGTTTTGTTGTCAATGTCAGTGTTGACCAGTCTGCTCGTCGAATCTGCTCACCACCTAGCTGCCTTCTCCTTATCGCTTGCACCACCTTATCTCTTGCAGATGGCGTCTCCTGGTGCTGATTCTCGGGCCCCGTTGGGCGGAGCTGCAGCAGGCTCCGAAGGGCTGCATACGCCCCCTCCGGCAGCGCGCAGCGCTGAGGATATGTATCTGGATGCTTCCGACCAGGGGAACGAAAGCGATGAGGAATTTGTAAGAGATCCTGAGTTCGAGGCCGGCATTGTGCTCTCTCCACCGCCAGCCACCCCCACTGAGCCCAGCCCTGTAGTCAGCCCAGCACGGGAAACGAAAATTCCCCGCCGTATGGGCCCCAACATTCAGAACATGTTCGTGGTAAGGACATCTCCTCTTATCTGAGCACGAGCAGAGTTCCTGCTTCGTCACATCAAGCGCTTAGTTCCTCCGCTCGCTTCTGAGATTCTGATCATGCTCATCAATTATCATTCTGCCGATATCATTCCGCCCACAGCATGTGATTGCAACATTGCAAGGAGCTCAGAATCAGTATCACAGCCCATTGATAATGGCCCTCATCAGTGCCCGACCGCTGCCACGATTGTTTCGAATGCCATTGTAGTACCTAGCTTCATTTGTTGATCCTGCCTCTGTCTATGGGGGCAGATCTGTTAATGCGCGTTTGCTTTTGTTGAATTCTCCAGGTACGACATGGAGAGCGCTCGGACGACGCAGTCCCCGGGTGGGTTTTTTTTTTCATTCTTTCTTAGAAAAACTGGGCTTTCACTCGTTCTTCATTTTAGCGTTCGGCGTCCTTCTGTGCAAGGGAAGGTCCTAATGGACTTCCCCGGGCCACCAACACCTCTCAGACCAATATAACCGAGTGCAAGCACAGTGCGCTTGCCAATCTAGTCGGATAGAACTCGGTAGTCCTGTTCGAGTACGTTCTGTGCAGTAAAAAAACTATCAACGACCGGGTTCTAGGCAGAAAACGGGTACAACGGGCTAGAATATGATTCGTTCTAGACACATGCTGCCTAGAACGTAAGCGGTTCTAGTGAGAATACATGATGGAGGTCGTACAACTGCCACCCCATGCATACATTTCATACATTCTTGTAGGTGGGAGAAGACGGCCGCCAGGCCTTGGGACCCCCCTCTCACAGAGAAAGGCTTTCAGCAGGCGTATAATATGGGTCAGCAGCTGCGCAACGAGGGGTACAAGATCGACCGAGTCGTCATCTCCCCTTTCCTACGGTGCCTTCAAACGGCGGGTGAGATCATCAAAGCATTGGTGGACGGGGCAGGAGAAGATGAAGTCGCGCAGGACAGCAAGGGCAAGGGGGTAGAGCGCGCTCAGGATGGTGCCGCACGTGCGCCGGCAAGTACAGTGAAGGCGCACATAGACTACGGTTTGACGGAGCTGCTGAACGCGCGCGCTATTCGGAACCCGCCCCGGTCGGGCGCTGATCTGCACAGCAAGGACACGTGGCTCCTGCCAGAGGAACAGCTGCACGCACTGCTGCCATCGGGAGTGCTCGATGAATTGCTGGGAACTCAGGGGAAGGTGAGGAGTTTGGCATACTTAACGAGTGGTCCTGCTCCATTCCTCGTAACTTCCCCTCCACTTTTGGAGAGTCTTCACTATGACCAGCTTCTTTGGCTTCCTTTGTTGAATAAAACCCGTCCGTGATCAAGAGCTTTCCTGGTCACTCTTCCTTTCAACCACTGTTCAGTGATAATTGTCAATTGCTCTTGTTGTATTTGGAGCCTGCACACTGGTCCCGATTAACGGACGTTTTGATATGTCATCTACAAACTATCTTTGATGAAACTCAAGACACTGTGGTTTGATAGTAGCTGACAAGCCCACTAAGATACACCAGCTCTGACGCTTTGGCGTTCCAGGAGGATTGTCGGAATCCATCACCATACACTCGAGGCATGTCGCGATGATTGTGATGGTAGCACGTCTAAGAAACTTCTGTGTAATTTTCTGTGCGATTTTCGAAAAGCAAGTCCAACGTCTTACTGTGCAGTTCCCAGATTGGCCCGAGGATGATGAGGTGTGCCATGCTCGGTATGCCGAGGCTTATGGCAGGATTGGAGACCAGTTTCCAAACGAAGATATCATTTGCGTGACCCACGGTAAGGGCTATCACTTTCGTGAGCAATCAACCTATCTGCCTCGTTTCGTATTACTTCACTTGTCTAAGTTCAGTAAACGGGGTCAGAGTATCGCGGCTTCAAGGGCCAGCCTATGAAGTTCAATGCGTCCGTTTTGACAATGAACACCCCAAACTTGCCAGAGCCAGCATCTGTCAGTCGGTTCCATCAATCTGATGTGTTCTTTGTGTACCTCGACTTGATCATCGCCAGACTACCTATGTGAAGCTGTACCACCTACAATACTTTTGCTATGTCCACGTACACTATGTTCTCTGGAGTTTGTGACGCTTTTCATTGAATTGCTAAGGAGGACTAGGCTCATCACGCTGGCGTTTTGCAGGAGAGGGCGTTGGTGTTTCCGCCAGTCGGTTTAAAAAGGTTGTCGTTTACGCTGTGAACTACTGTGGCTTCACTCAAGCGCAACGATCCAGACCTGGCACATCGGGAGAGCCAGACGAACAGTGGGACCTTGTGACGCAGTCTGAGGAAAGCGGAGTCTACTGGACATTGACCACTTGAAGCTGCTGTGTTATTTTGAAGGCATCAGTGATGTCACGGCACACAACTCGGGATTTTTCTCGAAGTTCAGTGCTAGGACCTTACCAAACTTCGTGGGTTTGACAGCGCAAGGGTTTTGCTAAGCGGATGCTGTCGTTAACGTTCGTTAGGCAAGGGAGATGCCCCACGTAGCGACGTAATAAGGACGTACAAAAGTATCAGGGCGTCAAAGATACATACCAAGAAACTTGGCAAGGGGGTTGCCAGCCAGCAGTGTAAAAGCCCGGGACTCGGATTGTATCGAGCAAACCGGTCCAGCACTTCGCTCAGTTGCAGGTCTGACGTACCATGCAGTCGGAGGGGTTTAATTAGACAGGATTGATCGAATCGATCAATCACCTCGTGGCTTGGGCGATGACACTAAAGAGACTGGTCAGAGATACACAAATGACAATACATATATAAGTTGACATGCATGCAGACGCGGAGTCGGAGCGCGGACGACATGCTAGATAAGCACAGACTTTTTGCCGCATTTCGAGCCTAGAACTCGAAGGAACTTCGAATTGACATCGTGTCGATCGCAGATTCAACCACGTATATACCGACCACGATGCGACCACGATGCGCGCGCCAATATATATGTTGCTGAGTAATTTAGCATCTAGCTTTAATAGTACTAAGCTGTAGTATCATAGTATATGACCATAGCGTTGTTGAAGTAGCGTGCAACCCCGCCTCTAACTCCGCCCGGTTGCTTGATGGAAAAGTGATCGGGGAGTTTGGGCCGAGATTCGTTTCGAGGATAAGGCTAATCAAAAGTCGACACCTGTCCGGGGTCGAAACCTGGTGCCAACTAGAAGCATCAATGATTGGTACTTTCAAGAAGTATGATCTGCCCGGTTGATGTGTATATTTTAACCGGGTAGCCCGGTCGCGCGCTATTCAGCACACTACCGGCAGATTTTAAGTTGTAGGCTAGTCTGCGGTAAGGTATAGTGTCTACGATCCCGGGCCTCGGCAGAGTTGACCCCCGTACCCGGTGGATGGGAAAATTGAGTTAGAAGTTGAACCTATTGAGGTCTGTCTACCCAACAACCACCGACCGGACCAGATCTACCTACTGTGAGTGACGTCATCTATAGGTCTACCGTCCGCGTAAAGGTATGTACCAGTAGACTTACACTACTACACAAGTAGGCCTAAGCTTCCTAGGCTACATAAGTAGGTAGTAGCCAGTGTGCAGTGTTCAAATTGTTTCCAACGGTTCTATACCGCAGACCGCGCGGTACGGCCGGCGGCCCAAATAAGTAGTACCGGGTACCTAAAATACGGGTACCATGTCAGAACTGTCAGAACCGGCCCCTTACACTTGATTTTGGAGCTAGACTGTGTCAGATCTCGGTCCAAACTGGGAGCGATTGACACTATCAAACTTCTCAAATTGGCTGAGAATTGCGACCGCCGTCGATGCGAATATCTACGGCGAAAAAAGCCTTATCCCAACAATCGAATCCGAAACCGAATTTGTTGTGGTGGCTTCTACGGCCTCCGAGTTAGAGGCGGGGTCGCGGGCTTCTTCAACAACGCTATGGACGTTTCATTTAATTTTACCGGCCCCGTATTTTGAATCATTTAATTATACCGGTGCCACCGCGTGGCACGTATACTATACACTGATATTATAAGCTTCTTATTTTCAAGGGCGCGGCCCGCGAGCACTAGATAGGTTGAATGACACGCGTATTGCAGCTGACCATTAATTGTACATGCATGCATATGGACCGGATGTGCACGCGGCGCCATTGCATACCGTTGTCATGTGCAATCTTGAGCTTGCAATGTCGAGCTAACCGTCGTATACTCGAATTCCGTCTTAAAAAGATTGAATGGAAGACATGCCGCCGCCCCGGCCGGCCATGACGTGAGTCACATGTACCGTGTCATGCAGAGCACTTCAAAGCTCAATGGTTTGAATCCGATTTTTAGCTGCTGCATTGAAACGCGTGCAAAGTCTGCATGGCACTTCAAAGCTTTGAAAAAGTGAGTAAGCCTGGACTCGAGGACTTACGTACTTGATTGGGATCTGCCGATGTAACTGGCATCGTGCTCGATATAGGCCTCGCGACTGCGCGCATTGCAGTCGGACTCATGCTTAATTTGATTGTAAGTCGTAGAGACAGAGAGTGCGGCCAAAGGTCATTCGGCATACGTACTAACATTTACTCGCATGCTGGCCAAGTCACTGTGCGTCGGAAGTGCGGCACAACTGCTTCCGACAAGTCCCAGTGAGTCAGCATGACGGGCTTGATGAACGGGCCAAACAGCCTATCCTGCCTAATACTCAACATGCTTGGCAGACGGGTTGGTTTATACGTCACCCCTGTCATGAAAGGCAATAAGCAATTAGCTTACACTTTCCTCTCGCCAGCGATGAAAGGCCTGTGCCGGCAATGGTCTTGCTTTGCGCATGGCGTATGAAGTCGAAACGTTATGCTTTCCCGCCTTGCCGTCTCGGTGCCTCCGGCGCCTTCAGCGCTGTATCCTGAAGTTGCACGACCAGAATTGACCGTTCAATCACTAATGCAACAAGATTCAATAAGACGTTGTATTCACGCGCCTTTGCAACGGTACGGCTGCGCGAATAACAAAGACATTCGCATCCGTTGTCCTGGCTTTGCCCGCAGCATGACGGTTTTAGTTCGGCCGGGGGGACCTTTCCAGACCGGGCGGGTCTAAGAGTACACAGCGAGAGCTCATAGAGTGCTTCCAACACTTGCAGGCGATAAAGCATGTGTTCGACACCATCCTGCAGACTCGACCCTGTGGGCTTGCTTAACTTCAGAAGCCTCGTTCCAACTTTGACTCCAAGAGAAGCCCAAAGGATGTCTAGGACGGCTGAAAAGAATGGCAGCTAGCCATGTGAGGCAGCAAGAGTCCGTTCGAAAAGCAAGGAGCTCATTAGCCGGCAAGAATATCCAGAAAGGGACCCTCACCTGGAAGCAATCGAAGCTCTCAGCCATTGGGTGGATAGGGGATGGAGTTTGGGCCCAGAAAATGCGGGAGCACGTGCTGGCTTCGCACGAGGAGACTACCCCTTCCCCTTCTGGTGCTTCAAGTAGGCGTCGACTGGAAAGTCCGGGGCCAGGTCGATGCTCTCAGCCGGCTGCAGAAGAGGGGACTAGACGGTTGAATCTTTACTCGGACAGCCGCGTCAGAGGCTGCGTTTGGACAACCGGGACGCAAAACCAGACGTGCAGAACAAGCTGTAAAAGGGGTGCCGGACAGACATCCCAACGGTCTGGAGTCCAATGCGAGGTTCTCGGAAAGCGGAGGGAGGCGAGAAAGAGGTATCAAAGAATAACCACCAGCTCTTTGACGGACACTTACCACGTGCCAAGCTTAGTGGATGCAACATCCAAGGGGAATACTTAGGAAAAAGGTCCGAACAGCAAGCCGCACAGGTCGGGTTGCATCATGTGGCGCCTGCGACCTTTCTCGTGCAATTCTTGGAGCACAAAGCGCAACCACGAGAGCCCTTACAGGTCGTCGAGCGCACATGCCGTGCAGGACAAGCGAAAAGCATGAGAACGAACAGACACGGAGAAATTACAGAGTGGCAACTTTCGACGGAGCGGCGGCCAGGCTGTAATCGTCTGCCTGGATTGCTTCAGGTATTCGTTGTGGGCCGGTGCAACCTCCAAGCCTCCCCCTGCGACAGCTCGTCGTTTCCTCACCGCCCACCAGTCGAGGAGCTTGCAGAGCACGTAGTCCAGCAGCGCGACCGCGCAGAAGAGCTTCCCGGCCCACGGCCCGCACGCGTAGTAGCGCGCCAGCCGGTTCAGCAGCAGGTCCCCGCCTGGGTCCGCCCCCACGATCAGGCTGTACACGCGCTCCGTGCGCGCAGCCACGTCGTGCCAGCTGTACATCTCGCGCACCTGCGGGCGGGGAAGGCGTACAATCAGAGGTCTGGACGTTCGCGAATGGTTGAGGGGTCTGCAATCACGAGATACTGAGGGACGATGCCGTTGATTCTTGAACGTGAGAGAGGAACTCTCGTCTCTTGCCCACTTCGGTAGGAGGTCAGTTTCACAAGAGCGAAGCAGCGTAGGTGCGGAAAGGCGAAGAAGAGCTCACAAAAGCCGACTGATCACAATAACAACTCTAGTCAGCCCTTTTCTTCCTAAAACCAGTGGAAGGGAAGGTTGAAAGCCTCACTCGCTTGTGCATCGCTGCAGGGTCAATGGTTGGAAGAAGAGTGATGGCACAGCTGACGGCTTCGACCAATTCGGACGCCCGAGGCTCCGCCAGGACGATCATGTCGGGGGGCAACACCTGGAGGGACAGAAGAAGAACCGAGTGCCTTCTATCAGCTTCGGCTCGCAATCACTTGCGCTCATTGTAAGTCGTCCGATGTAAGTCCATCACATGAGAACATAGAATCACAAAAATGTCTTCCCGCCAGAAGGGGTTGCGAATTCTTGCGTAGAGACATTTCATCTTGCTACCGGAGGGACATCTTGCAAAGAGACATCTTCCCAAGGTTCGTAACTTCGGAAAAAGAGACCCCGCCTCGTGAGGCTTGTTCTGGAGCCAGGATGAACTGAAAGTAGCCGGAACGTCAGATTTTCACGACCCCAGATCTTTTCACGCCGACCGCCGTCCGCAATCCGCATCAACAAATTATGAAACGAAGGCACAGAGGAGACACATCAAGTTGCCACTTGTCACACGACGCACCTCGGGCACTCCCCCTACGCGCGTGCTGACTGTGAGCAGGCCGCAGCTAGCGGCCTCCAGGATGGCGATGCAGAAGGCCTCCGTGAGCGAGCTGTTGAGGAAGATGTGGCCACGTGTCAGCACGGCGCGCGCGTCCGCGTGCGGCACCTCCCCCAGCATCTCGACGCGCTCCTGCAGCCCGCACCGCTCGCGCATCTCCTCCAGCGACACGCGCTTCGGGCCGTCGCCGCCGATCACAAAGTGGACCTGAGAAGGGGGCCAAGAGGCGCTCTTGAAGGATCTATCTAAGGTCGTCTTGCAGAAAGGAAACGTAGGTTCGTTCGGCTTCAGGACGCTGGGCAACTTCAACTCGAACATATGAATGCAGCCCACGTTCTCGGACGGGCTCTGTACTTGCCTTTAGAAAGTAGTCTGCCTCGACCAATACGAGGTCATCGTACTGCGAAGCAAGCCTCGGAAGTTTTCCGATTTGGAGACCAATAACACAGGAAGTGCACCCGTGTCGTTCAAAAACAGATTACTCGTCGAAGTTGCTGCAAACAACAGAAGAGAGGGAGGGGAGAACGTTGGCGGCGCTGCGACATACCTCGGGGTGCCTTTTGCAGATGGCCGGGATGACTTCGACGAGAAGGTCGATCCCTTTCCGATAAACCAGCCGGCTGAGCACAATGATCGTCACTCGGCCGGGCTGACGTTTGCTGACATCAGGCCGGAACACGGCAGTGTCCACTGCATTTGGGATGACGGAGATCCGATGAGGGGGCAGACCGGATCGGAGGGCCTGCAGCGGGAAATGGAAGTCAAGAGGTGAGAAAACGGAAGACAGGACGTGAACAAGACTAGAGCCCGTTGATCGTGGATCTTCCAAGAATGGAAAGAGAGATGGTAAAGGAGACCTTCAGGCTCTCACATCCACAGCGCCGAGAGAGATGCTGCAGGTAAAAACTTACCGAATGGTGGATACAGGGACCGGAGACAATTCGCTTTGGCGGCCCCTCGAGCCGAAGCGTTAGTCGCCTTTTGGCAACATGCACTCTGCCGCTTCGCAGAACCGAAGATTACCGCTATCCCTGTCCTTCGAATCATGCACGGAACTTGCATCACAACCCCACAAGTGTGGCCTCACACATCGGGAAAGAGAATCACTAGAAGAGGCGAATGAGTTCCAAGTCGAGTTCCTCGTACAGCTGTTTGGCCAGGGAGCCCCCTTCCGCAAGCGGCGGCTCACTGTGTTTTCCTTGCTGGTGTGCGAGACGCAGATGGCGTGGTGCACGTCGGCGAGCACGAACTTGAGGACCTTGTTCATGTGGATGCTGGCGCCGTCCGCAAAGCCAAACAGGCTGTGGTCCGTGAACGCCACCTTGTAGCCCAGCGTGCGCCCGTGCAGCATCGCCTCGTGGGCGAGGCACGAAAACGCCTGCGCGGCAAGGGGGCGTGGGGCAGCTGCTCGACGATGGTAGTCAACGAAGTACGATCCAAGTCACCGGTATTTTGCCATGGTTACAAGCAGGACGGATGGAAAACATAGACCACCGGTGGTCTCTCGATGAATCCTGTCGGTGTAATCACTCGTAAACTTGAAGGAACGGCGGTGGCAGACTTGGGCAATCCGGGCCATCGATATGAGGGCTCAAGGGGATCCTTACAGCTATTGTTGAAAGTGTCCTGAGTTTCAGGCCTAAAAACTCAGGCACAGGCACTGATGGGGGAAAGGAGGATGCTTATTCCACAAGTAAGACATGACAATCGCTTGAAGGTGGATATCACAGAGGTGTGTAAAGGGCCAGCTGCCCTCAAGATTCGGCCCTGAGATCCAAAGAGGGCAAAAAGAAGGAGCACAAAAGGGGACATATCGTTCCTCCTCCATTGTAAAGCAGAGACCAAAAGAAGGGATAGGGGCATGTTACGAGGCATCAGATCACTGAACCCGTTCATATCGGGTTAGGTTTTAAACGTGCGCTGAAGAAAGTCGGTTTCTTCCCTTCTCAAACAAGAACGAGTGAGAGAACAAATCCGGCTGACTGGATTCCGAGCATCTGCTCGGGGCCGGCCAGCATCTTGTTCGACAGAGAACAGTCACTACATGTGCCCCATGCCCCCGCACCTGGTGGCCGTGAATGACGGAGATCCTCTCCCTGATCAGGATGACGCGCACGATGGGCAGTGTGCTGTAGATGGTGGGGAACGTGCTCTGGCAGTAGAACGGCAGCCGCGGGATGTAGTACACCTTGAGCCCGTTGGTCATCCAGCGCACGCCGCTGCGGTTGCCGTATGCGTGGGTGAGCACCACCACCTGGCCAGTGGGAAATGCAACTTTTTAGAAGTGTCTTGGTCGTCAAAAGAGTGTTTGTTAAACTGATGAATGAAGAGCGGTTGCACATTGAGCCTCCCTCTCAAGACCAACATTGTACGGCAAGAGCGATGACGGAGTTCACGAGCTGTCGTTCGCCAGATGGAGCAGGGGACTGGCAACCACCACCTGGATTGAGGCAGCATGATGCAAGGCTTTCAGGAAGGGGCATAAGGGCTGACGGAGGTAGTAAACAATGCCAACTGGAGGATGCTTGTATGCTAGCGCCGCGACAAAGAGCAGCAGAGAGTGATCTGATCTACAGAGTGGCCCCAATAGCATGGGCAATGGGGGCTCTCAGCTTTTAATGCACTTGTCCAGAGGGAGGGCCCAGTGTGGTTGTAGCTTTTCGAAGGCTGCCAGGACTGGCTCATCGATGGGGCACCAAAAGAGAAACTCTGCTAACAAAGGCAGCGCTGACCAGCTACGCCAATGACTGAGGAAGTGCGCTCAGCTCTGAGCTGCAATGGTGTCATGGTGTCTGTGATCTCTGATGCAAAGGCGCGTTGGTCCCAGAGTTTGCTATGTGAAATCTGAGTCCTCACCTTGTGGCCCCTCTGCAGCAGGCACTGGCTGAGATAGTAGATGTGGTTCTCAACGCCGCCAAAGTTGGGGTAGAAGAAGTCGGACACCATGAGAATGCGGTGCCTCTGCCGTCCATCGCACAGTGTCTCTCCTCCTTCATCGTCTGCGGCGTCCATCCACCGACAGCGCACACTCTCATACCCTGTCTACTGGAATGCACAAAACGGAAAAAAGGCGGGCGCCAACGCATCAACACAAAAGACGGGAGCGTGCATTTGGTGTTGAAAACTGGACGATCAACAAAGTGGGGAAGAGGTTCTTCCCATTGCTTCAGCCCCCCTTCAGCTCAGCCCAAAACCCTAATCTCAGCAAACCCTAAAAGCTGAATGCATGGGCCTTTCCCTCGGGTGTACGAGCAAACCTACTTTTCGTAATTCAGCCTTCTGTGGCGCTTTCTGTGGCCCCCATGACTTTCTGGAAGCCGGGAAGCGAGCGGCCCGGCGGGCCCCCCGAAACCCCCATTGACAGGGAGGACGACGATGCGCCACTCCTGTTCCCTCCCAGCGCCCAGCGGAGCTTCGCCGAGCAGCGGGCGCGCCTGCCAATTGCTGCTTCCCGTGATGCACTGCTTTATCTGATAGAGCGGCATGCGGTGACGGTGGTCACGGCTGCGACTGGGTCAGGAAAGAGCACGCAGATTCCGCAGTACTTGCTGGAGGCGGGGTTTGCGAATGAAGACTACCAGATTGCGTGTACGCAGCCCCGGAGGGTGGCGGTGCAGACCGTGGCGGCGCGGGTGGCGGAGGAGCGGGGCACGCAGCTGGGGCAACAGGTGAGGCGATGTTGCATTGCTGACTTGCCCAATTTGGCCTTCGCTTACATCTGCCCGCCTAGCTTTGTGTAAGCTCGGTGGGCAAACATACATGGGGTTTGGCGCAGATGCTCTTCACAGTAAGAATGTTGAGGTAACTTTCCATCAAGCATCGAGAAAAGTTTATATAGATGCAGCCCCAATGATTTCGGAAGACAGGATTGGCATCTTGATGAAGCTAGGTTGCGCTCTGCGTGTTCCACTGGACACACTCCTTGGGCTTGTTCCTCAAGAAGGGGGCCTCACAACCACCTCTGGTTCGCAGGTGGGCTACCGCGTGCGGTTTGAGGACGTAACCACCCCCGGTGTGACGCGCCTGGTGTACATGACGGACGGCGTGCTGGTGCGCGAGCTGATGTCAGACCCGCTCCTGAGCCGCTACTCCGTCATTGTGCTGGACGAGACACATGAGCGCAGCGTGGCCACCGACATGCTTTTGGGCCTGCTCAAAAAGGTACGCAGCACCAGTCAGTGGCCGAGTCTTTTGCAAAGAAAGCCGGAGGACTGTTTTTGTTGAAGAATGTAGGCTAATGTGACTGATCTGAGCAGGCCCTTGTGTATGTTCGGAGCAACGCTCAAAGGGGCTAACTTCGACTTTGGCAGTCATCTGGGGCTGCCATTGCGCTCGTGTCTACTTCATCCTATCGTGCCATCTCCTGGCCTTTCCTTTGCGGTCTGTCTCTTCAGCTTGATCTTGAAGGTTCGTACATAATCTGGACAACAAAACCCTGGTCTACTTTTCGCTCAGGTCCTAACTGAAGTGGACGCGCAACCCCTCCTTAACCTTCGTTCTCCATTCCCTGTCTTCAATCCCCTCACCCCATTCTGTCCTCAGGTGCAACGTCAGCGCCCCCACCTTCGCCTCGTGCTCTCCTCCGCCACTCTTCAGGCGCGCGCTCTCGCCAACTTCTTCCAGCCCCCCCCCCGCCACACACAGCCTCCGGGCGCCCCCCTTCGGGAGCCAGCATTAGTGTCGGTAGAGGGCCAATTGCACCCTGTGCGCGTGCATTACCTGGAGGAGCCGTGCCGGGACTACCTCGAGAAAGCGGTGGCCACCGCACTGGAGATCCATGCCACGCAGCGGCCGGGGGACATTCTCGTCTTTCTCACAGGGCAGGTACGACCCAGCCCATGTTCCCCAGCAATTCGTCTATGGGCTACTGGGTTGCTAATGGGCAGTCTACGTTCAAGCACCTTCAACCACTGAGACGCAGAAAGTCGCAGCAGAGATCCTGATATAGAGTTGGGTACTCTTAGTTGGCAACGACTTCGGATATGCACGTTAACAACGACTTCGGATATGCACGTTAACGTACACCTGTATCACAGGATCTAGACGACCTCAATTGTTCGGACTGGCTCCGTCTAGCGCAGGTCGCTGCTTCCGTCGGGTCTCAGAGACAGGAATGGTGGCACAGATCGTCCAAGTTCCTGCGTGCTCACCCGCCTCGTGAAAGATCCAGCCGAACAGATAAAGGACGCTTTAGAGCATCACTGACCCGCTCACTGCGGCGGGCCCTGTTCAGGAGGAGGTCGACACCGCCGTGCAGCTGCTTCAGGAGGAGGCCGCGGCGCGCCCCGGCGCACAGGGCCTCGGGCTGTTGGCACTGCCGCTGTATGCGAGCTTGTCTCCGGCAGACCAGCAGCGGGTGTTTGAGAGCGCTCCTCGGGGCAAGCGGAAAGTTATCGTAACGACAAACGTGGCCGAAACCAGGTGAGAGCATGAAAAGAGACCAATCGCTTTGTGTAGGCGTTGCTTACTTACCATGTCAACATTGGAAGATAGGTCATTAATGCTCCGTCTTTCTTACAGTCAGTGTTTGCTTCTCACAGGTTGGCTCCTATGTGCACGGACCGAGGACGTCCTGATAAACACTGATAGTCTCGAAAAGGAAGGAATCTGTTAGTCGTGAACTACTGATCTGTCCAGATTGCCTGTTGCAGCCAGCAAGCCGGCTTCTTTGGCCACCCTTTTCTCTTCACACCGCAATCATTCATTTTATGTCCCTTTGTGGTGAACCTCGCCTCCAGCAGTTCCAGTTTCTGCGATTTCACGCGCTCGTACTTGTTTCGTGTCTAATTTCGTTGCCAGATTGGACGACGCCCCTGTCAGCCAGCGAAGCCTCTCTCTCTCATGGTACTTACCATTGAATATACTGAACCTACTGAATATACTGACTGTATATACCTCTTGAATATACTTGTTGAATTTGCTTACTCTCCTCTTTAGCGTGACGGTGGAGGGCGTGGTGTACGTGGTCGACGCTGGCTTCACCAAGCAGCGCTTCTACAACCCGGTCACGGCCGTCGACGCTCTCCTCGTGGTGCCCATCTCCCGGGCGTCCGCCGTCCAGCGAGCGGGGCGCGCGGGCAGGGTGCGACCGGGGCAGGCCTTTCGGTGAGAAGGACGTAGACACGAACTCCTGCGAACAGTGCTGAGGGTATCCAGTCCTGAGTGAGGGTTTTGGACCTGTTTAAGAGCGCCGATGAAATTCGTCGTGCGTGCTTGCCATTTGCCATCATCAACGCGTCCAATAAGCGCCCAAGAATATCTCGGTCGACAATTGCGTCCCTTCTTAAGAAACTTTCAGCGAATCCCTCCCTCAGACGCTCGAGCTTGCCTCCAGAAACTCGTGGTTTTTCCCCCAAAAAACCTCGTCTCTTACGAATTGTCTATGCATATGATTCTTTGTCCAAGTTTCTTTGAGTTTCCTCCCTACGTGTTCGAATCTCCTCATCGTCTTTGCTGACCCTCTCTCCCTCCCCCCCCCCCTGGCCAGGCTGTACACCGAGGACGCCTCCCGCTCGTCTTTCCGATCCTTTTTCAAATGCCCATGCTAATGGTTTCTTGTGCAAGTTTCGTTGACTTTCCTCCTGCGTAATCATTCTCCTCGTCGCTTCGGCTAACTCTCTCTCCTCGTTACCCCTGCCAGGCTGTATACCGAGGACGCCTTCCGCTCATCGCTCCCCCCCCACCCCGTCCCCGAGCTGCAGCGCAGCGACCTGACCCCCCTCGTGCTGCAGCTCAAGGCGCTCGGGATCGACAACCTGATGCGATTCGACTTCCCGGCGCCGCCCCCGCCCGAGGCCCTCCTGCGCAGCTTGGAGGTGCTGTACGCGCTAGGTTTCCTGGACAGCGACGCGAGGCTGACGCACCCCGCGGGCAAGCAGGCCGCGGAGCTGCCGCTGGTCAGCGCCCCAGACCTTTGAACTTGACCGATCTCAAAGGGCGTCTTTACATCCGGTTTTCAGAAGCACATTCTTCCGCCGGGAAAATGCTTGGGAACTGAAGAGTATACAGGGCTTTTGTGCTTCTCTCAAGTCGCCAGTTGTCGTGAGTTTCGAAGCTGCAAGTCCACTCGAGTTGCCCGCTCAATGTCTTCCTAGATGAGGCCCTCAAAGAGGGTCCTCGCTCACGGTCCTCGACAATCTGTCCGATACTGCATACTTCAAATCCACGAGGCGCTGTGCCGCCTTTCATGCAGCCACATTGCGAAATTACAGGCCGGTCGAAAACCTTGAAACAAGATTGAAGGAGGAGCCATCTATTTTACTCCTCTTCAAACATGCCCCACAACCGGGATAGTTTCGGCCCCCGAGCTTGTCGGTATTTGTATTGCCGTTGACTCTTTTCCTCCCGCTGTGGTGCAGGCCCCCTTGGTGAGCAAGCTGGTGCTGGCGGGCGCGGAGGCCGGCTGCTCGGAGGAGGCCATCACTGTGGCCGCCATGATGCAAGTGCAGGTCAGCCTCTTGTGCTCCTCACATTCCTGAAGGACCACGTTGCCGAGTCGGGCTGTTGTGGGCAGAATTGCCCGCCTGCACTTGCTGCGAACGTTTTTCAGGAAGGCTTGTTGCCGCCCTCGAGCTTGGGGAAACAGCTTCAGCCTTGAAAAGAAAAGCAGTGGATGGTACGGCTGTAGACGGGAGGGATTCGCTCCGACGATTCTTCCAGAATGCCGCATCTTCCGTTACAGTTCTTCAGTGAAAGCTGAACGGCTCTTAGAAAGCGATCCACGAACGGGGCTCGTCTCTAAAAATTCCAACGCAAGCCACGTCCTTTCAAACACGACGTATTTGTGACATTCAACTCAGTGCACTTGCTCGCATGCTGTGGCTGCAGTTCGTGTGGGTGTCGTCACGGGGCCGCCAGAAGGAAGTGGACGAGGCGCGCAGCCACTTTGCAGTCGCGGAGGGGGACCATCTCACCTACCTCAACATCTTCCAGGCAAGCCCCCAGCCAAGCTCCCTTCGTGCATGCCAAGTGTTTTCTGAAGCTTTCAAGAGTGATACTCACTTTTGGGGCACGCCTTTGTGCACGCCTTTGTGCGTCTGTGTGTTCCACTCCAGGCGCTTGTTCTGTCTCTTTGTGAGTCGGCTGCCCGCTCTCTTTCGTCTTTCGGGAGCCTGCATTTCCAGAATTGTGACCCTTTGACAATTACCATTACGCATGACTGCAAGGGGAAAAGATGAAAGCGGCATGGCTTTCCAAGCTAATCAAGTGCATCCTTTGAGATCCGACCCTCCAATCAGCCGATTCTCGATCTCCGCACCTTCGCTCGGGCTTCCTGTGACACTCCCCTCTCCCTTCTGCCGACCGCAGGCGTTCCAGCAGTCGCGCCGCTCCTCCCAGTGGTGCGCCGCGCGCAGCCTCAACTACCGCGCACTGCGCCACGCCGCCTCCGTGCGCGAGCAGCTCCGCTCCGCCGCACGCCGCCTGGGGATCCCCCTCGAGTCCGCCGACCGCGACCCACAACCCCTTTTGCGCGCGATCACTGCCGCCTTCTTTCCCAATGCAGCGCAGCTGTCCCCAGGAGGGGACGGCAGCACGTACCGCACGTTGCACACGGGCCAGCTCGTCAAGATCCATCCGGGGAGCGCGCTGTTCCGCGCGGCCCCCCCCTGGGTTGTTTTCGGAACGCTGGTGCAAAGCGAGGACCGGCTGTATATGCAGGACGTAGCGCCAACGACGCAGGAACGGCTGCTCGAAGCGGCGCCGCACTTCTTCACCAAGCGGAAACCGGTGCTGAGCCACGGCTAGGGCGGAAGAATGGCCGGGGCACCGGGTAGAGCCCAAAGACTGTCTTTTAACGTCGGCGTTCGAAGTGCGAGGTGCGTTTGGAGGTTCTGCTTTGCTATTTCTAAAAGTCCGTTCCGAGCAGTCTCGGTCCGAGGATTTTTTGCGTAATGGGCGGTGCGAACTTGGGTTGCTCGCAGGCGCCAATCCTGCTGGCTTTTTCTTGGTTTCTCAAAGTTGAGTGGCGACTGCGTAATAGCCAACGACGTTTGCGTTGGCATCACTTTAAAAAGCGCCTTTTCGGGGCAGCCATGGTGAATTTCCGCCCAGCCCAAAGACGATTAAACCGTTCACGGCGTTCCCACGATTCTTCATGAACAAAAGGTGGCTTTCTTGTGAGCGTTGAGACAGGACCTATTTCGCAACACATGCACGTCGTCTTTGAACTAACTCATAAGGATGCGGCTGCTGGTCCAAGAATTCTGACTCACTTCGCGACCTTCTTGCAGGAAGCGGGAGGACCATAGAGGCGTCAAATATTGCAATCCTACCCCTCATCTGAGTGAGAGTTGTTATAAGATTTGTTGCATGTAATCAACTATGTCAGATGCTGCTAATCGTATATCACGCACCTGGTATATTTGTGGCATTCTATCACAATCAAGTCGTTGGCTTGGCCATGCCTGGTGCAATTTACATGAGGGATTCGACCGTTACAATGACGTTTACATGCATTTTCTCCCCGCGAATGGCATACAAACATCCTCATTCCAAGACGCTTGCGGTCGCTAGCTCAGCTGCATAGATCCACATGCATGGGGGAGCGGGCAGTGCACATATAGCCGCCCGCTTTCCAGCGGCCTTCACTGACTGTCCATACGTACAGAATTGCGCAAGAGCTCGTGAGCTCTTGCCGAGGCGATTGGGTCGGATGCATATAAATTTTGGGTCACTCATCAAGTGACGGTTCGCAATCACAAGATAGCCACAATGATGCCCGTAAGTCTTCCTGCCATGCATGATGGGCGCGCTGGACGGTCGGACAGACTACATCGACATATGCAGTCTCAAGTCCAGCTATGTGCATCTCATCCACAAATATCGTGACGCCATTATTGAGCCTCATGTCATCTAAGTTGCCGTGTTCGTCCAAGCCGACAAGCTTGAACATGTCCGGTCACCCTTGGTTCCATTCTCGGCTCAGGTCTCAAACGCTTTGTTTTCTACGGTCACCTGTTCGGACCCTTGCAAGCAGCCTCAGATCGTGCTTGGTGTCATGATTGCGAACTGCCCCAGCCGGGTAACAGACGTGGCCGTTTCCGCTCCATCAACCGCCTGCAGACGCAAGCACGGCTTTAGGCACTCCCCATATGAGCCAGAATCTGATCCTCCTACAGGACCTTAGCTCGCAAGCACTAACCTGCAATGCAACCGAACGTCCATCGGTTCAGGTCGGAGTCCTGACGACGCACGAATGATCACACTTAAGTGGTCTAAAAGAAGCTGTTCATAACCGGGATAAGGCATGTTGCTGCGCTTGCTTACCTTTTGTACTCCTTGGTTCGCTCCCTGAAAGCCGACGGAACGTCTTGCCCTTCGTACGACTTGAGAACGGCGCGTGCGTCAGAGGGGCGCTGCCGGGCAAAGACTGCAGCATTCGAAGGACAAGGGACTTTCGTTTTCAAAGCAGACTTACCAAGAAGCATTCTCCGTGCTCGTCAAAAAAGTGCTTGTAGAAGAATGAGCTATTCAATGAGTTCGTTTGTCATCGACATTGGTCGCACCAACCGGAATATATGCTAGACTTGGTTGATATCGCTCGACACCGCAGGCCCTGCCAGTGGTCTCTCTGCCGATCTTTATTAGGCACGAAGCGGACAAAATGTTCTTCTGACGAACTCGAGTGAAGAAAACGCATCTTGGGCTGCTCCTATTGACAGCCTCCCATCATGAGCTGGAAAGTTCCGGATAGCCCCCTGAGCACAGGCCCAAGAAGCGCTTCTTACGGCGGCCGTGCGATGTGAAGTCGCATATCACTGTGCAATCGCACTCGAGAGGAAAAAGCTGGTGCGACAATGCTTCGGTTACATTGTTCGTCGTCCGAAGCGCAGCACGGCCTCACATTCTAGGAAGGGCAGGTGGTCCAGCAGCGCGGTGTCGTTGGTGTCCATCTTCCAGGGCTGCACCGTGAGCACGTTCTCCGGCTGCGCGCACTCCGCCGCGCCATGCCCGCTCACGAAGATGACATGCGACAGGTCGCGGTTCAACTTCGACAGGTCCTGCGCGCAGGAACAGGCCCACGGGGGTCAGTATTGCAGAGAAATAGAAGCATTTAAGCTCGAAAGTATGCACAAAGTGGAGTATTATTTGTTTGACGCTCGATGATAGATCGCGAATCTGGACGGGTCCTGCGTGTCAAGAGTGAAGACGCACGGGGTTTATGTAAGGTGAAAGCGCAAACCCATGCAGAGCAGGTGAAGAAAATGGGATGGTCGTAAAAAACATTGAGTGTGGTTGCGTCCTAATGAACTGCGAAAGTTGAGTTCGAAGGTCAGCGGATTACGATGCAGTTTCGACAAGTCGGACTCTTGTAAAAGGCCAACTTCGACCTCAGGACTCAATTCAAGATGAAGGCTCGTCCGGTTACAGTAAGTGACAGAGCAGGAAGCACGAATCATGCTGACGTGGCACTTCGTTCAGGTGAAGCTCGAATTGCAACACGTCCACACCTTTTGGAAGGAACCCAACCTTTGTCCTCGAACCAGAAAAACTCGGTCAAACTAGTCTTCACACCCGCACTTTGATTAAAAAGAACCCTTGAACTGCCAGATTTTCTGCACGAAATCACAACTAGGGCGGGTGGAGACTCTCACCCGCATGTGTTTCCCGTGGGTGTAGTGCGTGGCGTCGCGGTACAGGCGGTAGCGCACGCAGCCCTTGGGATCCAGGCGGTCCATGATGGGGTCCACGTACTGCAGTGACACCCAAAGCACGTGACGCGAGATCAAACACTTTGCGTACAAGCACCATTTTCAGGCCCAGGACAATTTTCGAGCTCAAAGAGCGGGCCCGGAAATCAGGAGAGCACAGAGCTGTGCCAAACACCGTTGATTGAAAATCCCGCAGTGAAAAAATGAATCCCCAGTACGTTCGTCAGAAAGTATGTCTCCTTTTCTATGTTACCTATCACAAGGACGACGATTCTCCAGGGCTCTCATCTGCCGCTGCCGCTGGACTGGAATTACTTGCCCACGTGAGTGAATAGGCAGGGGACCACTACTGGACAGCGGATGCACAGCAAAAGCCCTCCTAGCACGGGCGTGTTCTCACCAGGTTGAGCTGGTCGCTGAAGACGACAATCTCGTAGTAAGGGGCCAGCTGCTCTAGGAACTCAGTCGCACCAGGCCGCTTGAACGTGCGCCACCCACGCTCGCGCTGCATTAGTAGATGACTGGGGCGAATCAGGTACAATACCCCCATGAAAACAGAGTTCAGCTAGTCGCGGCATCGAAGCGGCGTCGCAATAATGGACTGCAATCCAGTCAAAGAAATAGGGAGGAATTATAGTAGAGCCAGTGGGGTGCCTCCATCATTTCATGTTCTTACCACGAAACTCGACCAGTAGTGTCTGGCTGGAGTTGCCCTGCTGTTATAATCCTGATAAAACGGTAGGCAATCACAGGGCCGCGTACGCACCTTCCAATCCGAGTAGACAAGTGTGTCGTTCAGGTCCAGAACAAGCGTGTACACCAGCGGTTGCTCGCCGGGCCGCAGGTCCGGAAGCAGCTTTTCCGACGATGGGCGGGAGAAACTCTGTAAACGAAGGTAAAGCTTTTCAGAAAGCACCTCAGGCTCAATCGAATTTCGAAGGTGTACAGGAGCTCAGTGGGCAATGATCAACAAAGCTTCAAGGAAAAAAGGACGACTTTGATAATCCAGTGGTAAGTGGCGGCAACGAATTGGCAAATCGAGAATTATGAGTTTCTTGATTTCTTGTATTCAGACACGTACCTGGACTTGCTGCTCAATGTTTTGGCGCGCTTCCAGGTACTGCTCCCCGACCGTGGTCGCCGCTGCGCAAAACCAACCAGCAATAAGCGCGTGCTTCAAAGATACACAACGTGCAATTCTTGCTTTTGCTCGATTCTAAAGCAGGGCTAGGGACACCGTGTCAAGTGTGGACAGAGCATCATGCCACAGTCTTGGTGTCTCTGCTTGGAAATCCTCAGAAGGTACATGACTCGTCAAAGGAAGAATCTAAAACCTGCCCAAGCAATCAAAAAACCGTTTGATAAGCAAACTTGAGATCTTACCATTTGCTAGCATATGCTCGGGGCCGCTCGTCTCGTCTTTCCATTGCCGGAGCTCGTTCACTTTCTTCTCCATCTGCTCCAGGTCGTAAGCTGTACACAATCGACGATGATGCTAAGTAGATTGCTATGACACGACAGGGTCCGTCTGAAAGCAGCCAAGGAGCCTCCCTTGACTTACTTGACAGGGCAACACAGTTGGTACACTTCTGGAATTTGTGACAACGTCAACGTCTCAGAAGGTAAATCTAGAAGGCTGGATGCAGCAGCCATGCATGAACCAGCCACGATGAGCTTTCATAAGATTGAAGCAATTGCGTCTTAAGGCATTTTTGGTGATTCTCAACATTGATATTGAACCACAAGCCATCCAACTTGCCCCAATGAAAGTTCAAAGTAAGTTCCTGACTGCCAATATTTGTGTGACACATCATTTACCCTTCTGGACACCAACCCAGATCTCAGAAAAGAAGCGCACCACCACCTCTTACCGTATGTAGCATAGCCTGCCGCCCCAATTGCTGCGGCGCTCGTCAAGCCCAGCGCCAGCTTGAAACTTCGCCACAAGGCAGACTGGGGGCCAGGAGGGGGCGTCCCTGCGGCCGCTCCTGCTTCCTGGCTTGCACTCTCGACCGCCGCACCGACGGCTGCAGCAGGAGCGGCGGATGCAGGCGTTGGCGGGGGTGGCGGGGGAGGGGTGGGCGCAGGCGGGGCAGCATTCCCATTGGCTGCAGAAGCGAACCCTCTAACGACGGGAGAAGCAGCAGACGGAAATGAAGCTGATCCTTCTACAGGAGCTGCGCCGGCTGTCCAAAGACCGCGTAGGAAGGGGATGGGGGAAAAAGGGCTTTGAGTAGCCTCGACCGGGTTTGTCACGGTTGACAGCGACCGGACAAAAGTCGAGACGTGGGGCTCCATGCGCAGGTGACGCTGTAGGCGCCGTAGCGCCGTCAGATCTCTCATTGTGCACCACCAGAGGAGATGTAACTGGAAAAATGAAAGCTCACGTCCTTTGACTTGCGGCAATATGCGAAGGCTTCAGCGTTTCAGAGCAACGCTTCACCTGCACAGCAACAGTATATGCGCTGGTGAAGCAGTTTCAAAAGAGGTACGGCGAGCTGACCCTAGGCCTAGGGATCTAGAGGCACAGGGAAATAGCGCCCTGGGCCCTGTTTTCCTGTGCCTAGTTTTTCATTCATACTTCAATTAGAAGGCCGTAGCTTTCGCCATGGACCTTAAATGCTGCTCATGACATTGAAAGCTTCTCCTCAAATTATGTCATCAACACAAAGGCGCGAAACCTTGAGCGCCCGGGGGACATGTGGATTGACGACGACTGTCAAGGTTGTCGCTAAAAGGCGTCGCTTTTGCCGTCTCCCCTGTTTTGACAGGTACCGTAGATGATTCCGAATAAATAAATAAATATCTGCGTTCGGAAAGTCAGAAACTCCGATTTTCCATTCGGAAAGTGAAAATTCGGAAACGTAAAATAA